CACACACACACACACACACACACACACACACACACACACAATTTCTTGTAAGTTGGCTTAATGTTAATAGCTTCCGAGAAGTCGCACCACCTGTTATTCACAAATTTGGAGACCCAAGAGAGCAGGTTCTGTACTTCTATACCCCAAACCAGGGGATAAGATGGTATAAATTCTAGCCTGAAGACTGTAGAAGATAAATAACTGCATAGGTTCAGTTACAAAAGAGAAAAGAGGGGAGATTCCTCCCATCTCATGTGTTTTATTCTATTAAGACCCACACAGAAAAAGTGCTCCAGTAGTTTCAGTATGACATCCCTTCATCCCCAAGGCAATATAAATTTATTTCACAGACAGCAAACTGCTGTGCTCAATAAAGGATAACAAGGCTAATTGTAACTTGGAATGCAGAATGACATATATTTTCAGTGTAAATTTTCACTTTTCATATTTTGACCACTTGCTGACAGTACACCACAAATTAGCACAATGTTGCTTCATGCCACATCTGAGATGTTTAAAATTTGGATGCACTTTGCTGCAGATTGTGGAAAACCACACAGAGAAATGAGGATGAATCCCAAAGCAATTACTGCCCCACAGATGTTTGGCCGACTTGACGTGGCCACAAATGACTGGACGGACGGAATATTTTCTACCCTTTGGAGGAAAACGCTGAAAGCCAAGAAAGGTAGAGAAAATAATATTATCTTAAGCATGCACTTCTAAACAAAATTGTAGATGGCTGGATAGGATTACCAAGCAGCCGTGCTTTCCACAAAAAGATTTCAGTATGTGTATGAGTGTTGAAGTAATGAAATTTTTGATTAGTACACTTAAACCACACCTTTAACATTTTTATTGCATTTTATTTAGTGTGTGTGTGTGTGTGTGTGTGTGTGTGTGTGTGTGTGTGAATGTCACAGTGTGCATGTTGAAGCCATAGGACAGCTTTTAGGAGTTGGTTCTGGCCTTCTACCATGTGAGTTCAGGGATTCCACTCAGGTCTTGAGGCTTGGAGACAAGGATATTTACCTATTGAGCTCATTTGCTGACTCTAAATGCTTCCTTCCTCTTTAAAGAATGTTTGTTTTTTAAAGTAATACTTATGCAGCCTCGTAATATTTTAGAATAGAGAAAAGCCGTTAAGGAAGGTTGATGATATTGAAAAAAATGATTTTTTTTTTTTAAAAAATGTGACTGTGTTCACTGCACAGTTTAAAAATGTAGCGTTTATTTGTATACAACTTTCTTTCTTTCTTTTTTTAAAACTGATTCTCCTATGAAATCATATAGAGAAATGAGTTTTTTGGGGCAGAAAATTATATGTACCAAAAGTGAGTTAGCAAATCTTTCTGTTTTGGGGTCACTGATAGTGGCTCCTTAAAGCAAACAATTAAGGTCTGGCTGTTCAGTCTGAGTGGTTTCACTTATGGGCACTGTGGACGGAACACTGTGTTCTCAGAATATAAGCTCAGCAGGGAGAGATGGAGGCTGCTCACCTCCCATTGTGTCTTCTCACTTCTGAGGGAGAAAGGGACAGTGGATACAATGGCAGGGCAAAGAACACAGGACAGCTCTTGGCAGATACTTCCTGCCTTTACACTGGGCAGCAGACCCCTGCTGACACCTGTTTAAGATGGCACCTGCAGAGTTCTCACTGAAGGGAAGGAGTCCTGCCTCTTTAACATCTGTAGTCAAAAGAGAGTGAAAATGTCCCCATTAGTAACAGTTATCTTACTGGAAATTAAAAGCTTGCTTCTGATTTGTTCACTAACTGCATAAATGTGGATCCAGTGATGAGATTTTTCCTCTCAGAATTGCTCAGTGAGCAGTCTCCTCCAAAGAGGAGACTGAAGCTTTGTCTTCCACAGAGACCTGTGCCGAGGTCACCATTTCACCTATCGCTAACTGAGTGGGTTTCATTTAGGTATTCCAAGCCATTTAACTTGAATAGAATACTCACAGCAATGCCCACTGAGGAAATTTAGAACCAGACAGTGATAGTATTGGTGAGCAACAGAGGCAGACAGACACGAAGAGGAGCTACAACTGAGCCACATAACCTTCACTTAGATTTGCATTCTTGTTGAGCCTTCTGTTTGTCATTCTCTAGCTCCAATTATCTCCTTAAGCGACTCCTCTCAAGCTGGTCCCCATTGTCTCCTGAAATTACACACTGAAGGACTTTGGTGGTTTCTGGCATATCAAAAACAGACTGCCTTTTCTTTTCAGTCTAGTTTGGCCTTCAGCAGTCTCTCTCTTGATTGGTCATCCCTCTCTCTGAATCTTGAATGTTTGGTCTCTGATATCCTTCCTCCTGTAGACTTCCTTCCTCCCACATGAGGAAGATGAGATGTCTGGGAGAGGTGGGCGGCTGGAGGGCAACAAGAAGTCCCTCACAGAAATCTAAATGTTGCATTGCCTCTCTTTCAAGACCTCCTGTCTCTCTCTACATTTTTTTTTTCTAGAAGAAACGTACATAACCCTCATGGCTTTAAATGCCACTTCTTAGCTGAAAGATTCTATATTCTCATATCTAGTCCTGATCTCTCTCTTAACTTCTAGCTCAATAACTCTCTTGGGATCTCTGCTGGCTATTAACATATGCAAAACTGAATTTGTTCTTCACTCTGCCTGTCCCTCTCCATTGTCTTTCTCGTTACACTGATGTACCACACCTTCTCATCTTGTTAGCTAGATTTCGTTTCTTCCTGTCCTCGACTGTCTTATTTACTTCTCTTCATCTCTTTGGGATACTATAATACAACACAATTAGACAAGATGGTCTGCAAACAACCATTTGCTTTGCACTGTTTTGAAGTCTGCCGACTTCTTGGTTGTGCCCTTTCATGGACAGAAAGGTGAGGGATTTCTTTCTGTTACCAGGACACTAACCCTATTCCAGAAGGCATTCCTTCATTCACTAATCCTATACATTTAGAGAAGAAGAATTTCAACATCTCACCTTGGAGGTTACAAAACATTGAGTCCATTTTATCACCTGAAGCTTGTTCCTGCTCCAAGGTCTTTGTAATTTCTGATGATAGGTGGGAAAAAAAATCCTACTTCCACATCTTTAAATCACTTCATTCTCTGTGTGAAATCCTTCACTGATCACCCAATGCAAAACAGTGCCTCTTCTCTGAATCTGCTTACAATTTCTTTATTGCTTCTCTGATTATTTGTCTGTCTTTCCCACTTAGAGTGTAAACTCTCTGAAGGTGGTACACCGTCTCACTCACCATCATATCCCAACCCCTAGAACAGTGCTGCATACAGAAAGGTGCTTAGTGAATATTCGTTGAAGGAACAAAGGGGTTTTAATTTAACTATAGTTTGTACATAACTGCCACATAAGGAACTTAGAAGGTCCTTTGTGCTCATACAACTTAGTCACCATTGAGACCAAAGCTTTATTTAAAATCAATGGGCATTATATACAGCTCTAGTGCTCTTTGAAGCATCATAGCTACTTACATAGGCACCTGTGTGCTTGTGTGCTCTCTTCTCTCCTCTTGGGTGGCATTCCAGGGGAACATATCTGGATAGTTCTTGATGGTCCAGTTGATGCCATCTGGATTGAAAATCTGAATTCCGTTTTGGATGATAATAAAACTCTGACCCTGGCTAATGGCGACCGGATTCCCATGGCTCCAAACTGCAAGATTGTTTTTGAACCGCATAATATTGACAATGCTTCTCCTGCCACCGTCTCAAGAAATGGAATAGTTTTCATGAGTTCCTCTGTCCTTGACTGGAGTCCTATTCTTGAGGTATGATTGAATTCCTTCTTTTGTATAATTAAAAAGGGAAAAGAGTCTTCATCATTCTTTGTGAGCCCATTCCTCTGCAGCGGGTGGCGTAATGGCCTCTTTATGGTACTGTTTATGAAAGGCCCTTGAATGCACAGGGAGGTTCAGACCCTGATTGCCCCTCACAGGATTCTCCAGTCCTCTTCTAATCACTCAGAACTGTGATTTCCAGGTAACTGTCAGTCCTACGTGAACCAATAATCCTGCCAAAGTGTGTCTGAGGGCTGAAAAGTAAAATTTAATTTTATTACTTTGTGAATCCATGGCAGTTTTGAAAGGTACTTGTTGACATAAATTTTGGGAACAACCATCTTAGAATTTCAACTTAAAGACAATTTGTTAAAATTTCATAGAAAGATTATTTTATGAGTTCAGTAATCATAATATTAATTTTAACTTTGTGATGGAAATAATATTTCATGTGATATCGTTTCAACTTATGACTAGGTATAGTAGTTTATTACTATCAATATATTCTAGAATATATTGATTATAGTTACATACCTTGCATACTTATATATCTTTGAAATACATATTATAAGATAAAAGCATATGCTGCTGGGTAATCCATGTGATTTTTATTAAGTAGTTGTCTAGGGTTTAAATTTTCACTTGCCTTTATATTTTGAAAATAATTTTATTTTAAAACTTCGCAATTTAAATTATGTAGCTATCATTTTATATTTTCATTATATTTTTGTACTGTTATAGCTACATTGACATAGTCTAACTTTTATTAATGTTTTCAAAACCTACATAATCCTGGGCTACAAAAGCGTGTAGACTTCATAACATATATTTATAGAGATAGAAAACAGCATGTTTATAGCAAAATGATATTGACATGCCTGAATATGACTCTAAAATCACTTTTAAAAATTTATACTGTGTAATTAGTTTTTATATCCATTAAAAATGAAGTACAGGTGCTCTTAGATGTGTAAAAGTTCTCATCAGTGACAATTTAAAAGACACAGTTAATTGTGTCAGGTTTGAATCCCACCAAGTTACAATCTCCAGAGAGGCACCAAGGACTACTGGTGAATAAGTGTCACAGTAGAATTTTTTTCGTATAACTGTGCTTACTGATCACTGACACAATGGAATACAAGAGAATGGTAATTACATGATTCCCACTACCCCCAAATATTTAAATTTCATGAAGTTATTTGAAAAATATGTTTGTTGTATTAATTGATAAATATTTAGCTTGCTTCTTATAAAATATCCTTCTACTATATCCTACCTGGATTTTTATAGTAACACTACACCTAATCACATCTTCACATGTTTTTCAATAATGCAGTATCCTTAGAAGATCAGGAGCTTGTGCTGTGTGACAGTCTCCTAGTAATGTCAGAAGGTACACCCAGAAATTCTCACCAACATGACTGACTTTCCTGAACCAGGACAGCAATAACAAGTAGTTCAAAGTTGAAGGGGGAGATCACTAGGTCTCAACTCTACACAAAGTACTATAGATGACTAAGGAGTGCTGAGAGCAGGAGAAGTAGTTTTCCCCAGGGAAGTGAAGTGTGCTGCTGGAAGACCAGCTTCAGCTCAGAGAAACAGGAAAGAACACATGGCAGAGCTGCGTACACACACAAGAGACTTTTCTGAGGGTCAAAGCTTGAGTCTTCATTTTATTTTTCTCTCTGCTGGATGTTATTTTTCTCTTCTACTGTCTTATGTTTTCCTCTCATCCCTTTTATACTAACAAAGGCAAAGATTTCCATGAAAAAAATTACCTCATATGTAACAAGTTATGTATTTTCCAAATCCAAATTAAAATCTTTACAAAAGAAGAAATCACATTGAGATCACGAGTTACATGTTTTCCTTAGAAGCCCACCAGTAGTTAAACATTTTTCTTTGTATTAGTTTTTCCCGCCATAGCATGTTCACCCCCAAACAATGATTCTTTATTATTGATTAACCAAGTTTAAAGCAAGCCAGTTCTGGTATATTTCAGCCAGTTCCTGGGTCCTGGCAGGTGGCTGTTGTGATTTCAGGGTAGAGGATTTCTACTCTAGAGGAACTTTAAGTAAGGGGTCAGTTCACCATCTATTTTCCTTTACATACAATAGGGTCATTTAATTTCCTTTCACAACTTTGTTTTCTCAGGTGCATAACAGGGCCTGTGATTAATTCTGTAAGTTACATGACCAAGGAACTCAGACCTAACCTTGGGTGTAGGGACAAAATTGCTTTCTTTGATCATCAGCCTGTTTTTCCACAGGCATCATTCATGGGTCTATAATGCATGAAACTTCCTTGTTCTCATTTTCCTTCTTCTGCAAGTCTCACGTCTAACAAAGAAGAAGTTAATGTTTAGCCTGTATTTGCCTTTTTTTTGTGTCTCTCATTGGAGCAATTGGCAGAATAACATAAATCCTGTCCCTAATCATCTTTACTGAATGTCCTAACGACCTGTATCTATTAGTATAACTCAGGAAGCCCAATTAAATCATAGATCTAACCAATAACGATCGCTCTTATAAAAATTATCTTCATTATTATCTGCAAGGAAACTGCCCAGTGAGGAGTGGGATATCCCTAAGAAACAATCAAACCATACCAGATACAGTGGGATCCCTTCAAATAGTATTCGCACCATGCCAAATGCAGCAGGATCACGGTAGCAGCAAACAGAAGGAAGCACAGCAGAAGCAATCCTGGGGATTTGCTTCTCCAGTGTGCACCCAGAGTAGGTTTGTTACCCTCTGAGTTGTATCTGGTAAGCTCCATTGCTTTCTGCAGCTCCTCTGATGTGGTTACTGGCAGAAGAGCAAACCAACCGTTTATCCAGTGCCAAATGGCCTGAAAACATGCATACAAGTAACATTATGAAGACTGAACAGGTTGTGTTTATGTAGTCAGGTATATGTATATATATATATATATATATATATATATATATATATATATAATTAATAAAAAAGAGACCACAAATTTGAAAGAGAGCAAGGAGGGGTATATGGGAAGGTTTGGAGGGAGGAGAGGGAAGCTGGAAAGGAGGCAGTTATATTTTAATCTCAAAAATATAAAGCAATAATTAAAAAAATATCACGGTATCCTGTTGGACATGATCAGGAAGAAGCAGGATTTACTGAGAGCCAGACTGAAAGTGTTAGAGCAGGGCGCTGTGGCCCAAGAGGCTAACAAGGAGTCAGACCCATGGAAGGCTGAGGTGGGACATTGCTACCACAGAGAGACAAGCCATTTCCTGGTTCTCTTAAGTTTGTGCCATGTTTTTGGTAATGTGGGATCATGGTAAGCTCATGAATTAACGACTAATTCAGAGTTAAGATTTTACTACTTCTGTTTTGAGTCCTAATTCTTTCCTGGGATGTTGAGCTGAGGGATACACTCGTCTCTTGACCGCATGGGGATTTATCTGAAGAAAATCTGGGACCGTAGGTCAGCGGTGCAGTGCTCTGGTTGCATTCCCAGCACAGAAGAGAAAAGTCTTAGGCAGTACCTTTCTCTGAATGACAAAAACTTCTTTATTTACTCTTAAATGACAAAATTGTCCAGTTTTCTAAAAGAATACCTTTGGTATTTTCTAGATGATTTATTAAGTCAGAAGAAATTAATGGAAATAGCCAATAATGATTACATTTTTGTTTCTTGATTTTTAAAGCCTGAGTGTAGAGTTCCTTTGCTCATCTTTTATTGCCTTTGGTCATCTTAGCAATTCCCTGTGAATGCTCCTGTGTTTTTGAAGTACATTTTAGCTGATGTTTAGTTGGGGGCCATTTCTGCACACATGGCACTGGAGCTGTGAATACTGTGGATGGACTTACTGAGTGTTAATTCTGGCCTTGCCACATTCCGGTTGTAGGATGCTGTAGGTGAATAACTGAAGCCAGAAGGTCAGGAGGACAATAATAACTCTCATTTCAAAGAGCTGATTTGAATATTTAAATGAATTATTATATGAAAGAGTTTGTATACAGGCTTGGTGCATCTTATGCACAATAACCCTTTGCATAATTATTAATTGTTGATTAATGTTAATTAAATAATGCTGTAAAAGTTTATCCCCCAATGGTCATTTCCCTGGTTTCACCAATGCACTGATGTGTGAACCCACAGGGTTTTCTCAAGAGACGGTCTCCTCAGGAGGCAGAGATCCTTCGACAGCTGTATGCAGAGACTTTCCCAGACCTGTATCGTTTCAGCATCCAGAACCTGGAGTACAAGATGGAGGTACTGGAGGCCTTTGTGATCACACAGAGCACCCACATGCTGCAAGGGCTGATCCCTCCCAAGGTAGGGGCTGCACCTCCCTCTTGAGCACACAGCATTTGAAACTAGACTTGGTCAGGGTTGATGAGCATGTGGTGGGGGTTGGGAGGGGTTTCAGACACTCGCTTCTTTCCCCCCATAGCTTTCTTTGAACAAAGCAAGCCATTGACTTGAATTTTGTTGCTGGTTAGCATAACCATATAATAAATGCCATTCTTTTTGTTTAAAAATATTTCTACTATGTATATTTATTTCTTTTGTGTATGTGGAGAAGTCAGAGGATAAGTTGTGGGTTGTGGGTTGTCTCTTTCTACCATATGGAACTGAGGAATTGAATTCAGGTTATCGGGACTGGTGTCAAGTGCCTTTATCCACTGTGTCATCCTGCTTGCTTCCTTCCATTTGTTTGATAAACCAGTTTGTACCTGTGGAACATGGTTTCTCATTTGCTCCCCCGTGCTTTTGTTCTCCTGGGCACAGCTAATGTCTATTTCCTAGGTTTACTGTTTTCATTCAGTAAAGATTTAGATGGAGATTTGAGAACCAAGTATTAAAAGAAAACGAACGGCTTGTGCATCCTCAGGAGCAGGCCGGGGAGGTGGGCCCAGAGCACCTGGGGAAGCTGTTTGTCTTTGCCATGATGTGGAGTGTGGGCGCGGTCCTGGAGTTGGAAGGGCGCAGGAGGCTGGAACTCTGGCTGTCCTCGCGAGAGGTGCCCACTCTGCACCTGCCACAGCTGACTGATCCCGGGGACACCATGTTCGACTACTACGTGGCACCTGATGGTGAGCATGCCCGGCACTCACGGTGCAAGGCAAGGTTGTTTGATCAAAGGTGCTGTTGTGTTATCAAAGTGAGAACTGAAACTCTTGACCATAAAACTGAAATAGGAATTTTAATGTATAGCGAAAGCTAATAATTGTTATTTCCCTAAGCTTCACTTTGGGGTCCAGGCACAAGTTCCACTTGCATGGCAGGTGGGACCGTTAGTGATTTGAGTTGAATTGAATCAGTTTCACACTCAGATTCACAGCAGCCACTCAATGGAACCAACAATTTATGTAAAAAAATTACATCCAAACGTAGGGGTCTATATTTACAGATGTCTATTTACTTATCTATATATCTCTATACGCATCAATATATACCTTAAATGACTTACATGTGCATGAACATACATAACGCACACACGCACACACACACACACACACACACACACACACACACACACACACAGTCTATGGGGGATTGTCTTGATCATTAAATGATGTGGAAGGGCCCAGCCCACTGTGGGAGACACCATCTGTAGACAGGTGGCTCTGAGCTGTATAACAAAGACTGCTAAACATTAGCCAGATATCAAGACAGTGAGTGAACCAGCAAGCAGTATTCCTACATGGTTTCTGCTTCACACTCCTGCATCGAGTTTCTGTCCTGACTTTCCTCAGTGGTGGACTGCAGTCTGGAAGTACAAAATGAAACAAAACCTTTTCTCTCTAAATGGCTTTTGGTTGGAATTTGATTACAGCAAACGGAGAGAAAAGTAGAAGACCATGTTTTGTGCAGTGCTAGGGATTTAACCCAGGATACTGTGCATGCTAGATAGTCACTCTACCAGCTGGCCTATAACCACATCCCCTTGATGATTTTTGTTTTATGGTAAGAATTGAAGATATCTTTGTGACATTTTGTAGGTGCCTGATCATTACAGGGATGCACGCTATTGACTGAAACGCATGAATACCTTCTGTTCTTCTCAGGTTCCTGGAGGCACTGGAGCATGTGTACCCCGGAATATGTGTATCCTCCTGATATCACCCCAGAATATGGTTCTATCCTGGTGCCAAATGTAGACAATGTGAGGACTGACTTCCTAATTAAAACCATTGCCAAACAAGGCAAGGTATGATGCTTTAACTACTACTACAAATTGTGTACTTTAAAAGATCATATGAAAATATGAAAGCACCCAGCATTTATTTCACACTACTTTCTGTTTAGAAGGAGTGAAAACATAACCTAAATGAGCGAACTCCTTTGGTTATTTTACAGTGGCAACCTAATGTGCCAAATAGGCCTAATTCCTAATTTACCACTCCTCGAATATTAGTTGAAGGAAGTGAATTTTGTCTTGTTTTTAACTAAGACAATTCCTTCCCTTTTGGTTACTGACTTAGTTTGCTATGGCTGTCATAACAAAATACCAATTTTGGGTGGTTTAAATCTTGGCAGTTTCTTTCCTCAATGCTGGTGGGTGAAAGCCAAATGAAGGTGATGTCCAGGTTGGTTTTTCCACAGGTCTGTCTCCTTGGCTGATGGACGGCACCTCCTCCCTGTGTCTTTCCTAGGCCCTTTCTGAGTGCATGTGTCTCCCAAATTTAATTTGTGTATCTAGATTCATTGTTTCTGTAAGGCCATCATTAGGCAGGATCGAGCACCTTAAGGTGCTCTGTAGAATCCCTTTCTCCAGATATGGTCACAATGGGGGATCCTGAGCATCCCTCCTTCAGTTTAGGAGTTGACAGGTGGGAGGGGCACAGTCCAACCCATGTTGTTTGTTTCATTTCATTCCTTCCAAACTCCTTCATTTTAGGCTGTATTGTTAATTGGTGAACAAGGAACAGCCAAAACAGTCATAATCAAAGGATTTATGTCAAAATATGACCCTGAAAGTCACATGGTGAAGAATTTGAACTTCTCTTCGGCGACCACTCCACTGATGTTTCAGGTATGGCCTTGGACCTTGCTCACATGTATAGGACTGTGCCAGTCTGGGAGGCTCACGGTATTTCCTGTGTCTGTAGAACTTTGTCAGACTTTCTGTAACCATGACATCACACCAATAATGTCTTCAATTGTCACTATCTTTCAAATGTAGTAAAGTCTCTTTCTAGTTTGGTTATAATGTATAATCTTATAAAATAAGAAATTCTCAAGGAACTAATGAAAAAGATGGGTAAACAAGGTGCCACAGGCCTCAATGGTGTTTAAAATATTTGTGTTAGAAATGTAGGAAAATGTAAGAAAAACATTTCAAACCTGAGGCATAGACACTCACTTTCTGTGTAGGATACTAATAGCTTAGGGGAAAAAGAATTGCTAGTAGAATTTCATGAAATTGAATATCTGTACAGAAAATTATAAAGTGGAGGGAGACAGACTACAGAATGCAAGAAAACCTCTGCCACTTATTCATCTGATGGAACAATCAGCATCTGGAATATTTAAGAATGTATAAAGAAAAAAGAAAAACAAAACTGAACAACAAAAAAAATCCCCAAATAATCCAATCATAAAATGGAAGAATGACATGAACACTTTTCAAATACAAAAACACAAATGACCTGTATAAATATGAAGAAAAATGTTCAAAATATTTAGGAATTAGCAAAATACAAATAAAGCTACACCTTACCCTCATCAAAATGAGACAACAAATGAAGACAAATATTTGTAATGATGCAGGGCAAGTGGGGAAACCGTTATACTCTGCTTATGGGAATATAAATGAGGGCTGCCACTATGCAAATCAGCATGGAGGTGCTTCAAAACATTAAAAGAAGAATTTCCATATGATCCAGCTATTCTGGTTCTGGGAACACACTGTAAAGAATCAGAGAGAGTAGATTATATGTATACTTGCTATGTTTATTGATGCACAATTTCTATAAACCAAGTTACAGCATCAGCTGAGGTGGCTGACGGAAAATGAGTGGATAAAGTGTGGCATGCATATGTGTGCAGTGGCGTTTTATCCAGTCATGAGGAATAATGGAAAAGGATGTTCTGGAAATCATTATGTTAGGTGAAATTAGTCAGACTCCAAAGGATACACTCAGAAACAGCTTTGACTCTTTGGGGTAGATACTTAGAGCTGGCTGTATCTGGACCACATGAAAGTTCTACCTTAAATATTTTGAGGAGACTCCATGCCAATTTCCACAGTGGCTGCACCAGTACATTGCCACTAGATTTTATGTTTTTTCCAGACTATTCCCTAAATTGCCAGTCTGTCTTGTCCTTCACTGGTGTAACATGCTAACGCAACTCCCTTAATAAATTGTAGCAGGGTATAAGCTCCTAGACTCTTAGCAGATGAAACATACTGTGTCATATAGCCTTGCATCAGAACAAAACTTTAGAGTTGCATTGCTTTAGTCGGTGGAGCTTCAAAGACTGCCTTAAGTGTGTAATGGCTGACTATTCCTTCCTATGGTGGTAGGAAATTGTATAAAACTATTGCAACTAGAGAGAAAAGTTTTTCTCAGTGTCTTATGCACAGCCACCAATTATTTTTAAAATGATACTTGCATATACTCATGTGGTGTGTGTGTGTGTGTGTGTGTGTGTGTGAGAGAGAGAGAGAGAGAGAGAGAGAGAGAGAGAGAGAGAGGGAAAGGGGAGAGAGAGAGAAAGGGTAGAGAGAGAGAGAGAGAGAGAGAGAGAGAGAGAGAGAGGGAGAGAGAGGGAGAGGGAGAGAGAGAGACCCCATTTAGGGCTGAACACTCCACAATTTCTTTTCTGCACACTGACCAGAGTTGATGTATTGATTATAATGTGATTAATTATAAATATCTTTGCATTAATTACTATGTACTGCAAAAGAATCTTTGATAAGCACCGAGAACTGCATGTATCTATAGGTTTAGAGATAACTTAGGAGTCAGCTTAATTCTACGTCCACTTCGAAGAATATTAGTGTTAGGTTCTCACGTAGGATCTAGGACTTGATCAGCTACAGGCTCTTGGTTAAGTTAAAGGCACTGGGAGTGAATTATGTCCTGTGAAGCAGGGTTTAAATTCAATCAGTAATTATTGTAGCTTATTGTAATAAATCTTGTAAGATTCTCACCCAGGTAAGACCTTCGATTTCTTTTCTCTCACAGCCCCTTCCTGCACTGTAAAAGCTAGTCAGTAGGGACGAAGCTGCCAGACTGGCACTACCTTGATTTCTTCCTGTCATGTAACTCAAATATGCTATGTCTCCAGCAATCAGGTATTCCATCAAGTTCTGGTGGGCAGTCCATATCAGTGTCATTAGCCTGTAACGTCCATATCAGTGTCATTAGCCTGTAACGTTCCGTGGTTTGTAAGACCCTCCACTGACCAATAACTTGAAAAGAGGTAACTGGCATTTCAATAACTTGAAAAGAGGTAACTGGCTTTTTGTTCGATAGCCCATGGCGTCTGGGGAGGGAATTTAGGGGAAGAAAGTCTTAATGTTAGTCTATACCCCAATTATTTGAAAATTTTAATATTTTAATTAGAACATTAATAAATTTTTGAAAAAATGCTCATCAAAAAATTGTATTTGGAAGGCAAATATTTATGGAAAGATAAAGAAAGCTTTGTTTCTGATGAACTTTGCTGTTCTTCACTTTTTGAAATAAAAATATCAGCCCAATTATTGAGGGCATGGATAATTCATGACTTCTTATTGATTAATTTAATCAGTGGCATCAGAGCACCAATATACTAAGAATATTGATTGGAATTCTGGGTAAAACTGCTAACTTTATTATACTCCTGTGCTGGAGATGAAATTTCTAATAGTGCAAATAAATGACATCTATACGGTGTCTTGGCATGGAAGTCTAGATGAAATGTCAACCCCAAATTGCAGATATTCAGCAGTGGTGTATTATTATTATTATTGTTAATACTTTTATTTTTGTGTGGGTGTGGGATAGATATTAAATTAGACCAGTAATGGACATATAGCTATACATTTATTTGTACACACACACACACACACACACACACACACACACACACACACACGCATGCACACACATATATTACTACCATACACAGATGTTATGGCATTGCATTGTATTTAAATAATTAGTTTTACTTTAGAAGGACAGTGCTCTTTAAAGGTTATAATTATAGTATTATTTGAGAGTGAACATTTAAAATAACCTGTGTGATTTTTGTTTTTATTACCTAGGGATATTATCACTGTTCTTGAGATTTCATTCCATTTTTGGCTTTTATTATGACTGGGGCATCACAATTAGAGATGGATAGAGGTGTCTGGCGGGCATCCACTGGGATGTCTAGGTTCTCAGTGTTCAAGGACAGGAAACCTCCTCCTGTCTTTTGTTATTTCATTATATTTCTTCTCCCTGCTCAGAAATACCACAGCACTGCCTATTCTGCTTCCTGCCCAGGCCTGCTTGACTGCTGACCATCAACACTGTCCATCAAGCTAGACTCATTGGTCTGAGAAAGCTTTCAATTAGCCAAACTCATGTAATTAAGTTTCTCACTATAATTTTCAGTCAGTCTTACTAAACAGAGCCAGTGGAGCAGAGGGCATTTGTCTCTTAGTTTTCCACTTATATGGATCCCAAGCAAATTGAAATTGTAGATGAGAAAGCAGCTACTGCCCATTTCCTGTCTTCTCCTGTGGTACTGCACAGTCGAACTGAGAATGCTGTTACTGCCAGGCTCCTTCATGATGGTCCTGCCATCCTGTGTCAGCATCTTGTATCAGTGGGAGGTTCCTCTGTGCTTGGGACACTCAGGTTTATAGCCACTGTCTCTTATTAATAATTAATCATGTCTCCTAAGGCAATCCAAAGTGTCCAGTGTGGATAAAAAAATTTATACCCCGCCCAAATTACATTTTGGCCAAGAGAATTTATTATTTTTTTAGAAGAGAAATGGCCCATTTTTTCCAAGCCTAGTGTTATTTTTTCTATTTTTAAAATTACTGATTCATATTTTTGTGATTTAAATAATCCAAAAATATGAAAAAAATAAAATGAAAATTAAGAAAAAATCTTAAAAATTTGATTTGTTTCAAAAATTATCTTAATGTCTTTTGAATATAGCAACTACCTTTCTTTTAATTTTGGATTTTTGAGATAGGGTTTCTTTGTAATAGTCCTGGCTGTCCTGGAACTCACTTTGTAGACCAGGCTGGCCTTGAACTCACAGAGATCCACCTGCCTCTGCCTCCCAAGTTCTGGGTACTAAAGGTGTGCCCCTCCCCACCATAGCAACCATCTTATATCCATAAAATTTAACATTTAAAAGTGAGAATCATGAAGCCTGGCAACACATCTCACATCATTTCTGGCACCAGAACAAACTGTATAGGCCATGCTTAGCAAACCTTGATTTATAAAACAGGAAAGCCTGGGTTGTTTTGGTGAGCTTGGAGCTGGGTCCTTCATGCCTCTGCAGACCGATCTTGGCTTCTTGCAGACTTCCTTCCTATGTAATAGAGAATTCTTTTGGCTTCTCAGAACACCATGGCATTAGTTTCCAGAGGAGACTCCCAACATGCTTGAACACTGTTAATATGACGGTTTTCACTATTTATACTGTTCATTGGTTGGTGGCAGAGTGTTAGCCAGAAGCCAGGTTCCATTACCTTGTGTGTTTTCACTGCCCCTCCTGCCTACTTCCCATGGACTTTATCTGCCTTAACACTGACAGCTGAATCATCAATATTGTGCTTTTTTAATTTTTAGCTTTTAGTTATGCATTTTATACTTCCATGTCAATTCTAGTATGAGATTTTAAGTTTTAAATCTCCCATGGAACATTGTATGTATATTCATCTGTTTGTCTATCATCTACCTTCCTTCCTTTCTTCCTTCCTTCTTTCCCTTTTTTTTTTGAGACAGGGTCTCACTGTGTATCCTTGGCTGGCCTTTTAAACTTTGCTAATCTAAGATTGTCTTCAATATTTTACAATGGATTGGGAAGATTCTATTATTTAGGCTGTAGGTTTTAAAATAAAGAGCAAAACCTCTCAATTTTTATAACTTTTAGATATATATCACACATAGATGGAAACAAAGTGAATAGATTTACATTTCAGTTTAATTGTATGTGGTATTTATAAGGAATGACATAACTGCTTGATGGCCATTTACGTTGAAATAATAAAACACCTTTATAGTTTTTACAATGACTTTAAACTTATAATTCCCTTTTCATATATGACTTACGTTTAATAATCTGTAGTATGTGTTTATGCTGATTCTAGGTTGTGGCTCAGAAACACTATGAGACAGATGAAGTCACAAAGCTGATAAGTAAGAGATGCTAGCCACTTAACCTTCTTTTTTATGATTCTAAGTCCGGTGAGAGCTGTTCCATAAAACTCTGCAAATTATGCAAGTTTATGCATGTCCCATTTATGGGGACGACTGTGTGAATTAATGGCCAGTCCCAGAACTATCAATGAACAATCTTTTGATCAAACACAGACCCTCCAGCATAAGGTTCTAGTCCCCTTTCAGCCTAGAGAAGCAGACACATCATAATTCCAAGTTTAGCTAATGTGATAAATATTGCCAACAATAGAATGTAAGGAATGTCAGTCATAGGATGGAGGTGTGATTACGTCAAGAAAACTCACACGAATGAATGGAATGGAAGGACTGACTACTTTGCGTTCCTGTGTGAGAGGTGTTAGCATCTGTTTTAATGATATTTGGAACTATGAACACTAAATTGTCTACAGAAAAGTATAAAAGTATATACAGAAAACTGAACTGCACTGAGTTTTAGATCTCTTATAGATGGAAGTGTGAGGCATTTCCTCACTCCATTTCTGAGCCTACTTGCTTTTCTAACCATCCAGTTTTTAAGTATTTAAAACTCATTTCTGTGCCTGGAAGTAATTTTGGTTTCCTATGTCTGTGAAGGACAGATAGACAATGGAATCAAAATTTTGCTTAGGGCCTATAGATTAAAAGGTGAAACTGGGGTGACCATAATCTCCAATTTCAGAGCAAAGTTTTTTTATTCTCAAAGAAGCATCCAGTCTTAGCTAGAGACTTGAGCTTTTTAACAAACTATAGCTGGGATGAAGACAGGGACCCTTTATGGAAGACCATTCATCTAAGAATTTCTTTTTCACAAGGCCTGTTGGCTGGTACACATCCTGGGAGATGTTTTTTTTCTTTTTTTCTTTTTGGTCATATCTCTAGAAGCATATGAACAAAGGTCCCATCATGACCACTATAAACTAGACTATAGAACGAACACTACTTCATAGTGAGTGTTTATTGTTATCTGAGTACCAGTTCACAGACAGAAGATTTCTAGGGTAAGCAGCTAGCATCTTGAAGTTCCTTGTAGGTCACTCATGGGAATCCCTTGGATTAGTGGGCAGGGTTTTACCACCCCTTATTGAGTTATTCAGAACATAGAGCAGAGATCAAGATGGAAAAGGTTACTGACTGCATTAAGGTTACTGACAGACAGTTGTAGTAACTATTCAATGGGGAGGTTGGACTGGACCAAGATGCATAAATGAAATAGAATACATGGATTCATTCACATTGTGGTTGGATAAGACCAGTTGAATGGATGTTGTTGAAGGATATAAGGAGATATCAAACATGATTCTGGGACTCCTGTTTTTCCTTACTAATGTATCAAATGTACATGGTCTCATGTAATTTTCTAGATAATAATGATACATCGAGGAGTAATATAGGTAAAATGCCTATACATTTTATTTTAGAGTGGGAAACAGATGGTAACTAAATAATAGAATACAGCTACTTGGAGTTTATATCTATCTATGTTGATTTTCATGATGTTTGAGGCACCCCAGTGGGGAAGTGCAGTTATCTATTTGCTTGTGGGTTTTTTTTTTTTGTATGTGTGTGTGTGCAAGTGTATGTTTGTGGAGTCATATGTGCATGTATGTGGGCTCTATGTGGAGGTTAGAAGTCAACTTTTGCTGTTGCTCCTCAGGGAATGTCTAAGGTCTGTAGCTCACCAAACAAGAAAGGTTGGCTCTCCAGAAATCTCCAGGCACCTGCCTGTCCATCTCTCTTTGGACTGAGATTACAAGTGTGTGCCTCCATACTCAGATCCTCATGCCCACACAACCAGGACTTAACCAATGGGGCTTTCTCCACAGCCCCTTAGTTATTGATGCCAATTTAGTATCAGGTTTTTCTGATTTGGAAATTCATTAGAAAATTATATGGTGGGAGGAAATCTTAGAAATTTAGCAATATAGCTCCACATTCACAAACTGTTCCGTTTCTGCTTTCTTTCTGTTTTTGTCAGCATGATGATTTTTATGATACATTTATCATTTCCTGCCTTCAAAAAAAGAAATTAGGGTCATAATGATGAGGGAGAAAAAAATGCAGGTATGTAGGTCTTACTCTGTATTATTCTAATTATCTCACCTATGGATTTTTAGTTCTTAGAAGGTCCCAGAAGACATAAAATCTTCACATGACAAAGAGTGCTCATTAATAGACATGGGATGTCTGGGAGGTTTTGGTTTGCCATGGGGGGTTGTTGGGAGGTTATTAATTGGCTTATGCATTTAAATTCATTGACAAGCAGAGCTAAATTTAACCTAGTACATTAAACAGTGTGCCTTTTGTGTCAGGGGAATATGTAATTCTCTTTTCTAGTATATAATTTCATGGGAGATTTGTTTTATAATTGAATGAGTTGTGATATATTTACATGTATTTCCACTGAAAACCATGAAAACATTTTCACATCTATCCCCGATGCTTATTAAAATGATGATGGAAGCTTACAGTTAGCAATTACTTTGAAGATTTCTGGAGGCAATATATATATATTTCCTTATATCTGAGTGCATTTTATAGTTATATATTGGTTATAAAAATAATTTTAACCAGTTTATTCTTTATATGACGTAAGAAAACATTTTTTCTTTTGGAAAGGAGAATTCATGTTTATTTCAGTGTGCTTTCACTGGCCCTGCCAGTATACAGCCTCTAACATTATTTAAAAGCAGGTATGAATAGATCCTAAAGTTGTAGTGAAAACCTGAGGACTTTAGAACTCTGAGCTTATAGAGTTGGGGAACTTCGAATTTCTTGTTTGTTCTTATATGCTAAATACCAGTTATTTGGTCTATGCATTTATTTTAACTCAAGAGCAGTTGGTAATAATCAACAGCAATACAAAAGAAGCTAAGACTGAAAAGCACAAGTGATTATTGCTGTAGTTTGTCTCCTGGAGAGTTCTAAGATAAAAGGCAAGGACCCAGTCACCCAGAACCAAGTAAGGAGTGCATTTTGATGCTTTATTTCTAAGCCACGGTGGACTGCCATGGAAACAAATACACAACCACTTACTCCAAGAGTCTGAGGTTGTTTTTAAGACAGAGAAAGAATATGAACTTGGGAGCATAGAGAGCAGGATCTGGAAGGAGTTGGGGGTTAGGAGAGAATATGGTAAAAATATGCTGCACAAAAGTCTCAAAGAATAAATATAAACTGAGTTCAAGATCTTTGTCGTCCGCTCTCTCCCCTCCTTGAAAGGCTCTTTCTAAGAGGCCCAGTGTTCCTTCCATTGCCTTGGATGTGTACAGCACAGTGTGGCCTTCTCTCCTACCATCGAGGAGTGCAGAAGTGGGAGGAGACAGTGGGCTTTGCTCTCTATGCTGTTTTGAGAAAGGCTAGTGGCTGCAACTGCTCCACAGCAGGGCATCTGGATCACATGGGGCAACTGGACCAACTGAACCAACTGGCATTGTAGCAGCTCTCAGTTAAAGGCAGTCTGTGCAGTGCAGGCCATAGACTTAGGAAGCCTCTTAGACAGTAGCCCCGTTTAGCCATATCTCTGATTGTGACAAAGCTTTTACAGAACTGAGGTCAGGAGTCATTGGTCTAGGCCCAAGGAAATGGAAATAAATCCTCACAAATGGACGGAAGATCATTATCTATTCAGAATTTACACTGATTAGAACCTCACTAAATGCTAAATGAAGTTTGTATATATTATGCAAAATAGTTTAGGTACTAATTAGCTCGCCAACATTAAGGAGGACACTTTGGGCTTGTATGGGTAAGAAACTACTGTCGTTTGAAAGGTTCTAGTTTTGTTTGTTGTTTGTTTCCAGTAGTTGATCACATCTTAGGGGAGACTTCACAGGTGTTCCTGTTGGTGTTCTTGTTTAACAGAGGACTATAGAGAGCTATGTGGACAAACGTATGGGCACAACGTATGGTCCTCCAGCGGGGAAGAAGATGGCGGTCTTTATTGATGATTTGAATATGCCAGTAATCAATGAATGGGGCGATCAGGTATATTGAGCCTACTGTATATTTTTATTTTGCTAATGTGTGATTGATTTGTTGTTCGAGGATTTGCGATTTCTGAGTTCCAATAGACTCTCTTCTGTAGAGAAACTTAAGGAATTACATACTAGAAATATGCCTGCCTGCCTGCCTGCCTGCCTGCCTGCTTGCCTGTCTGTCTGTCTGTCTGTCTGCCTGTCTATCTGTGTTTCCTCCCCTCCCTCTGTTTGTATGGGGTGTGTATGGATGTACTCTCCTCTAACAGTACTTGTGAGGCCAGAGGTTGTTATCAGGTGGCTTTCTCTACCACTCTCCAGTTTTGAGACAGGTCTGTCTAAGCCTGGGCTTCACCATTTTGCTGGATGGCCACTGAACCCCTGTGGTTTGCTTGTCTCTACCCGAAACCCCAGCTCTGAGGTCATTGGTGTGCCCAACCACACGTGGCTTTTATGTGGGTGCTGGGGAGTCTGAACTTAGGCCCTTATGCTTCACCATCAAGCACTGTACTCACTGAGCCTTTCCTTAGTCCAACGAGTGGCATTTCAGTTCTAAAAGTTATTTTTCTTAGGTCACTAATGAGATTGTCCGACAGCTGATGGAACAAAATGGATTCTATAACCTTGAGAAACCTGGAGAGTTTACTAGCATTGTAGACATCCAGTTCTTGGCAGCCATGATCCATCCTGGGGGTGGACGCAATGACATACCACAGAGACTGAAGAGGCAGTTCTCCATATTCAACTGCACCTTGCCTTCAGATGCTTCCATGGACAAAATCTTTGGTAAAATGGTTATTAGAGGACAAGGGAAAAGAGGGCCACCTACCCTCAGCAAGAATTTACCCAGAGGGCAATACAAAGTGTGAAAGGCTCTTTGGTTTGCAGCCTTATCACTGTTTTACTTTGTTTTCTACAGTGATTAATTTATAGATATTAATGGAGGTGGATGGCCTCAGTGTATTGTTTTCTTCTTTGTTATTATTATTATTATTACTATTATTATTATTAATTATCTAAGTAGCTGTTACTGGCTTCTCAAGCAAGGATATTAAACATGGCATATACATGAGCTAGTTTTCTCATGGGCAGCCTATATATTCCTTTGTTAAGAACAGCTGTCTGGTACTCTAACACAAATCATGGATATTTTGCCATAGGAATGACAATGTACAAAACAGGTAAGAGTTCCTCATGTGACCATCAGTGTTGTCAACATAATTATAATCAATTACTGATGGATTGAACTTGTAGTCCTTCAGAGATAATTTAATTGAAGAGCTACTAACGCAATATATAGCCAAGTATATTTAACTGAACAATGAAAATATATTTTTACTTATTCTGGACTTACTCTTTGCGGGGGTGGGGGGAGTGTGAAACTATGAACAACTCTCTGTTAGGTATTAATTTAGAATTTCTGAAACTGCCCCTGACACAAAACTCATTAAGATTACCCTAATTAATTTCTGGCAGGATAAAATGTCATCTCATCACCCCAGGCTAGGAAAGTGTGACAATGCTCTGCCTTCAGTCACAGCAGTGGGAAGGTTTGGAGACCAAATGACATTTGAATTATCTAAACTTGGGGAAGTAAAGTAGATGAGAAGGAATGACTGCTATCACTTTTAATTATTCTTTGGTTCCTGGAAAATGTGATGCATAGGGAAAATTACATGATGCATGGGAAGTCAACAACAGAAGAGGAAACTATAGAGGACTTAGGAAAACCTTTTATCTTTTCATAAGTCAATTTTATATATCGATCACTGTTATTTAATAATATTAAATTAGTGTATCTAGTGTTTTCAATGGTATTTGTTTTCTTTAATAATATAATATGAATTATAATTATTACTGTACTCTATTACACATAGAATCTAGAGCTTTGTGTACATTAGGCAGATGACCTACCACCAAGGAACTTTTCTCCAGTCCCCTTGGCAGTCTTTTTAAATCAAAGCTCCGCTCTTTTGAATGCCTACTTACTTAAACCTATCTCTAGTTTTGAGTATTTGAAAAATCAACAGACCATTAATTGATGTGATTGCCTACACTGCTTGGCCATCTGTCAAGACCATATCAGTACACTTGTGCAAATTCTGCTTTTCTTCTGGACTGACTCGACGAGCCATTAGTGAGAATACGATGATTCTCCCCTTTCCAGGTGTGATTGGGATAGGCTACTACTGTACCCAGAGAGGCTTCTCAGAGGAACTGCGAGATGCTGTGATGAAGCTGGTGCCCCTGACACGCCGCCTGTGGCAGATGACCAAAGTGAAGATGCTCCCTACCCCTGCAAAATTCCACTATGTGTTTAACCTTCGAGACCTTTCCAGGGTCTGGCAGGGCATGCTGAATATAACTGCAGAGGTTATCAAAGACACAGACGTAAGTGATACTTGAGACATAAAAGCAATTGCTGTTTTCCCATCCTAAATATTCAAATTGGAGTTTTATATGAAGTCTGAAAAAGATTTGGATCCTTGAGCATACATACTATTCATTTCTTCATCCATATCTGGCTAACATCGTTAAGAGAAAAAACCCTAAATATTACGTTAGAAAATTTGAATTATAATTCAATTAAGTTAATTTACATTTAAGGAAATCTTAAACAGAATTATCATCTAAGAGGGTATGTATTAGTTTCTTTTCCTGTTCTTGTGATAAAATATGATTTATTCTGGCTCTTACTTGGAAGGCATAGACTACCCTAGTGGGGAAGTCATGGTGGCAGTGTGAGGCAGCTGGTCACGTGGCATCCACAGACAGGATACAGACAGCAATGAATGCTGGTACAAAGCTCGAATTCTCTTTTTACGTCAGTCTCTGCTGGTGGAATGGTGCTACCCACAGTTAATGTCTTCCCCCCTCAACTGACTGGTTCTTGATGATTCAACATGGGCATGTGCTTTTTTTTGTTCTTGGTGATACTAGTTCCTGTCAAGTTGACAGTATCAACCACAGGCTAGAATAGAAGAAACCCTTGATTTTTGTTTTTTTCATAATATGGTATTTTTCTTCAATAAGTAATGGGCAGAATTATGATTGACTTTATTCTATAATAGTCCTGGTAATTTAAACTTGACTTTCTAACTTAAAAAGTGTAATTATGTTTATAAATAAGCAGTCAGAGTGAAAAGAAACCATTTTGTTGTTAATCACCCATGATTTTTCCTTGTAACTAGATGAAGTAAAAGAATTATTCATTCTGCCTCCAATTAAAAAGAGGCAGCAGAGTAGAAAATTCATTTAATATACAACCCAAAAATGAGCACTTGTAGATGTATGTGAATATGATGGTTCCTTTGTTGTAAGGCTTGCCTTCAAGCTAAAACAGTAGCTTAAAAAGCCAGTATGTCTGTTACCCTCAGAGCATGACCCTGCGATCAGGCTAAGTCACAGGTGTCCACTTTCCTGACCTTTCTGGAGCTGGGGATGAAGTTTGGTGACTGTCCTCAGTATTGGTTACAAAGGCATTCAGGGCGGATTTACTAACAAATATTTGGTAAGCACATCAAGTGTTCCCTGTCACAACCCCTCATATCTGCTCCAGATGCTCACCAATAGGAAGCCACACTGGCTAACTTTTGAAAACTAGACAATGTTGGGGAAATTTCATAATTCTTATGACAAAATGACATTGATTTTAGCAGCAGTGAATATTTCAAGTTGATTTGTAAAAATTAAAATGTACTATTATTGTGTGTGTGCAGGTGTGTGCATCCACATATGTGTGCTCACACACACACACACACACACCTGCACACACACATAAGACACATAGTCACCACACATACACACACACACACACACACACACACACACACACACACACACACACACACAGAGCAAGCATGCCATGGCACCCATGTGGAGGTGAGGAGACAACTCTGTGGAGTAGGTTCTCTCTGTCTACTTTGATACGGTTCCAGCGGTCAAACTGAAGACATCAAACTTGCATGACAAGTACCTCTACTTTCTGGGCCATCTGGCCTGCTCTCAAGTTGCATTTTCTTCTCTCAGTGTTAATAATAAATTAATGGAATTGCAGAGTGTTATTCTCATCTACTATTCTTCAGTAGCCATTCTGGTCACTTATTTTAAGTCAATACAAACAATTTTAGCAATTGATGCTATAGTAAACTTTTTCTTAACAAAAATTTTTATATTCTGGAAACCAAATAGCTATTTGTCATTAGTAACAAAACCTGACTTGGAAGGTAAGAAATTTCTATTAGTATTTTAAGCCAAATAATGAGATTCAGTAAATATTATTTTTCTTGGACTAGAATAGGACTGTTGTCTAATCAATTTCTCCAGATATTAGTGAATTTTTTTCATTTGTATATGCAAGATTTATATTTGCAACAAACTTTCCTTATTTCTGCTAATTAAATATGCCTCTATAGATCTCAATTGCCTACATTAAGAGCTGCTCATACACTGTACATTACACTATAAATGGTCCATAAAGGCAAACATTGTAACCAATTTAATAACAAGCAAAGACCTTTTCACACAACGTCAGTTAGTTTGTTGATTGATCTGATAAATTTGTAACGTGCTTTATCTGGGAATATTTCCTTTTTAATTAAGACCACAGAAAGATAAATTCACTTTCCCTTCATTATACTTGAATAAGTTCAGTTCAAATGAAACACAGGCCTATTGTATGTATTTTTAAAGTGGTGCATCTGATCTGAAAGCCAGAGTGATGAAGCTCTATGGTATCTCTACTTGAAATCTCAATTGTGGCCCAGTCAGGATTAATGACTCACTTAATTATGCCCTTCAACAGGAGCTGCTCAAGCTGTGGAAGCATGAATGTAAACGTGTGATAGCTGACCGCTTCACCACGTCTAGTGATGTGACTTGGTTTGATAAGGCTTTAGTCAGTTTGGTGGAGGAGGAGTTTGGTGAAGAGAAAACACCGGTGGTGGACTGTGGAGTTGATGCTTATTTTGTGGATTTCTTGAGGGATGCGCCAGAAGCTTCAGGTAAACTATTGAGGAGGGGTTTGAAGTTCTCCAAAAGGACCACCAATGGGAGAGCTAATTATAGAAGATTTGTGCATTTTCAGGGCTTCAGTTCCTAAAAGTGAATTACCTGTATGTTGAACACATTTGCACATTAAACCAAATGGAGATGCAGGGTAGGATAGAGCATATCCAGGACTTGTAGTCTGTCAGAGGTATAGAGAAAGAATTCAGTATTGATGGACTGAATGTCTCTTGAAACTCATTGTCTTCCTGTTTGCCAATAAAAATGTGACTATCACCTCATGGACACTGAGGAGAAAATGAAGTGTTATCTGTGGAATGTGTAGGAAACTACAGGCTATAGTCACTGTCAAGTAAAAGGCAGCAAGAAGGGCAATGAATATTCTTATCCAGGTCATCTGAATTCTGTGAGATTCCCAGTGCATATGAGTGAGAAGAAATGAGTGATATGAGGCAGCTGTTTTTTGTTTTTGTTTTTGTTTTTTTGTGTTTTTTTTTGGCTGAAGAGGTCTGCTATTTTTATTAATAAAAACAGACAATGCCCTGTCTTTCACACAGAACTGACTGGTTTTAAAATGAATATTATTATTCATTTAAAAACTGTTTCTACAACTGAGGATGGGTGTTTGGTCAATTTTCATATTTAAAGGACTGTTGGTACTGGGGATATAGCTCAGTTGGTAGGCATAGTGCTTGCCCCCACACAAATCTTTAGACTTCATAAGCTTCATAAGCAGGGAATGGGGGCACAAGCCTCTTATCCCAACAGTTGGAAGGCCAGAGGAACTAAGGCTGTCATTGACTTATCAGTCATTCTAGGCTAATGTAGTTATTGCTTTTAAATGGTTGAGAATGACTACAACATCTCTGACTTGTGTGGTAACAAAATGTGTGATCCATCAAAAGTTTCTGAGTGACAACTACAAAAGGACACCACTTTGTCTTCTGCAGTTGGAAGGAAGTGGGCACATTCCTTGTAAATCAAGGCAAGCATATACAAAAATCTGGCAAGGCCATTTGGAGAAAGGGCTAGAATCTATCCTGTATTTATTATTCAATGGTACCTTATGTCCTGTGAGAAGGACAACTATATAGACTGTACTTCTCAAGGAGTGAAGCATGACTGCTCCATCTGGGGTGAGGGCAAGGACACAGGGGAATATCTAACCTCTTGTGATTTGAGTTGAATGCTTATGAGAGAGTTTCTTTATATTCCTCCTAAAAAGACATGAGATACTTGACCTCTCAAGATTTTGATGTTAAGTCCCCATTTCTTTTGAGTTTTCATCTTAACCAGTAGGCTCATGTCTCTAACACGATCTTTAGGATACAATGTTTAATTGTGAGTTCCCATTAATTTATATGAGAAAACATCATTTGAGACTGGTTCTTTCTAGAAACTATCTAGAAAGAACTATCTGCTCTGGAAAATCCTAGTACTTCTACTATTGTCTGATTTTGTTTTCTTAAAAATCTAAATATTGTATTTTGATGAGAAACATTAATGTTAAATTGTGGCACTTTGAGTGTGTCAATTTAGGCAAAAGTAGTCAAGTTCAGTGATTTGAGGAATCTTCCTACTTCTTGCCAAGGTGAGACATCTGAGGAGACTGAAGCTGAAATACCAAAGATTTATGAGCCAATTGAATCCCTTAATCACCTGAGAGAGCGTTTGAGTGTATTCCTGCAACTCTATAATGAGAGCATCCGTGGTACTGGCATGGACATGGTGTTCTTCACAGATGCAATGGTCCACTTAGTCAAGGTACAGTAGCCTCACCAGAGTGCATGACAGGTGACAGATGCTTGGTTTCACCCTGAATAACCTCACCCTTTTATTTTCACCTCCTAGGAGAATACTCAGTTTAAAAGTGAATTCATTGTTACATTCCAATTAAATTTCTAAGCTGAATGAAACATGTCACACATTATAAGCTTAAAATAAGAACATGTGTATTTCCAGTGTGTGATGTGAGAATGTTATTCAGTGTTGATATTCAGCTTCTGGCTCAGTGTTTTGACTACACAGGATGAGTGTGGTTTAGTTGAGTTGAAAGAACAAAGTCTGCTTATTTCTGCATCATCTAAAGAACAGCACTCTGAAGTAGTGAGCAAGCTTAAAGGACAACAAGTGAAATAGCAAGGCAGGCAAATGCCACAGCGTTCCACGCACACCAGGTACTCAGTGCAGTCATTCACAGAGATAGGAAGCAGGGTGGAGAACACCAGGGCTGGACAGAGAAGGAGACTTGCTGTCAGTGTTCAATGGGTAGAATTTTAGTTTTGCAGGAAGAAAAGATATATGGAAGCAGATGGTATTAATGGTTACACAACAGTGTACATCTACTTAATATTAAATTATACATCTTGATGAGTTGTGATAGTAAATTTTGTTACATGCATTGGTGGCATCATCTGCTTTTCTGGATGCTATGACTAAATATTTGATAAAAATAGCTTAAGGGATGATTTTTTTTGTTTACTGTTTGGAGGGATACAGTCTATCATGATGTCAAGAGCTTGAGGTAGCTGGTCACAATATATCTGTGGTCAGGATGCAGAGAGAGAAAGGAATGCTGATGTTCAATTGGCTTTCAACTTTTTATGTAGTGTAGGATCCAAGTCCATGGCATGATGATGTCCACACCTAGGATGGTTCTTTCTACCTCAGTTAATCTAATCTAAAGAATCTTTCACAGTATACTTAGAGATGTATTTCTGTGGTGGCTATAAATCCACTCAAATTACAAAATAAAGGTTAGCCATCATATGTATTTTATAATCAAAGCTAATCAGATCAAAACAAAACAGTGCAGAAACAGTTGACCTTTAGAAGGTGAAAATTCCATTACAATGAATTCCACCAGGGAAGTAGAATTCCATCCTACTTTGTCTAGTGTGTGTGTGTGTGTGTGTGTGTGTGTGTGTGTGTGTGTGTGTGTGTGTGTATGTGTGCCTAAAAACTTATATGACCTAATTTATCTATGCCATTAGAGTTTCTATTTGGCAGGTGTCATCAATTTCCTTACTTTGTTGACATCAGTTACTTCTCAGACTACAAACTTTCAGTTAGAAAACAAATGACTTGGGCTTGTCTTCCATTATCTAGGTTTAAGCATGAAGAATGATCTCATAAATGTAAGATTCCTCTTATGATAGCTACTGGGCCTGAGCAGTGGAGGTGGTTTGAGAGCCTACCCTGTGAGCCTTTCCTGTGAATTGGGGTTTGATCATCTGTTTATTTTCTCCATATGAGGGCAAGGGTCTTCCTGCATCATTCAGGCAAGTCTCAGACAAAGAAAAGACAGGGGGTCATTTAGAGATCCAGTCTCCCTAGCATGAGGGATGGAACTTGGTGTCTTTGTGAATTCTTGGACTGAATGATGAGGCCCAGTGTTCTTCCAAATCCTAATTTAGATAATAGTGTAAAATGGACTTCAAATTTATAGTTTATTAAGAGTAGAATGATCTTCATCCAACAGATGGTGGAAGTAGAAACAGACACCCACAACTAATCACTGAAATGAACTGGAATCCAGTTGCAGAGAAAAAATGAGTGATGAGCAAAGGAGTCCAGACCAGGCTGGTGAAACCCACAGAAACAGCTGACCTGAACAATGGGGATCTCTTGGTCTCCAGATAGCTGGGATACCAGCATGAGACTAATCCAGATCCCAGGAACGTGGGTTTCAGTGAGGAGAGCTCAGAAATCTACAGGACCTCCTGTAGTAGTTCAGTACTTATCCTTAGCATAGGTGTGGACTTTGGGAACCTATTCCACATAGAGGGATACTCCCTGAGCCAAGACACACAGGGGTGGGCCTAGGCCCTATCCCAAAGGATATGATAGGCTCTGATGACACCCTATGGAAGGCCTCACCATCCAGGGAGAACAGAAAGGATATGTGATAGGTAGGGTTTTAGTTGGTGGGGGTGGTAACAGGGGAGGAGGGGAGGGAGAGGGAAATGGGATTGACATGTAAAACAATCTTGTTTCTAAGTCAAATAAAAAAAAGAAAAAAAGAGTAGAATGTCTCATTAAGAATAGAACTTCTGCCATATTGAATAGTTAATAGGTAGGGAGGGTAAAGAAATTAAAAAAGAAGAAATCCCCAACACTTCTCATTTTATGAATGAACCCTGCCAATGGTGAGGTTATGATTAAATGCCTGCTGAAGATACTATCTGATTGGCCTGTGATTGCCCATCAGTATATTGATCATGAGTTTATTTTTGCTAGCCATATGAAATTGCTTCACCTCCTGTTTTTCAACATAAATTACAAGGCTTTCTTCATCTGTCTGAGCATGCCATTGCAGGCACAGGGCCTCAGCTCTGAGGGTATTTTCCTTGGTGCTTAGCCTTCAATCTGGTTGCTTTGGAATTGGTTAAAGAATACATGTCCAGAACATCTGAGATGAAACTATGTATCCCTTAGTCTGTTCTAGTCTGACTCTTCCGTTGTGTGTGTGTGTGTGTGTGTGTGTGTGTGTGTGTGTGCATGTACATGACAGAAGACAGAGACAGATGGAGGTAAAATAAAAATCTATCCAAATGGACTGTGGCCTGAGGTCCATCTCTTTTATTCACAAAAATGAGCAGCCTATGTTTTCGTGCCATGTATCTTTATTAATATTATTTTTTAAAAACTTGAGATTATAATTATATTATTTATTTCTTCTCTTTCCTTTCCCCAAACCTTCTAGTATATCCCTTTGCTCTCTTCCAAATTCAAGGCCTCTTTTTATTAATTAATATTTATCAATTGTTGTTACACACATATATGGATATGAATATGCATATCCATAACTACAATCTATTCACCCTGAATCATGTTACTTGTATGTATGTTTTCAGGACTGACCACTTATTGTTGCATAACCAACTGGTGCACTCTTCCCTGGGGAAGACTATTCCTTCCACTCTCAGTATTTCCTAGTTACCTGTAGTTCTTTGCAGGGGAGACGACTTACCAGATTTCAACAACAAACATACCAAAGTCCTATATGTATCTTTTGAATGTATGGAAGTTTAAACTGTATTGTCAATGGCTTATCATGACCTAGGTACTGATATTTCAATTAACCCACGGGCAACAGTTTACCTAATATATAATTTAGATAAATGGACTGTTAATGTTTAAATATGCCTGATTGCAGAATACCTCATCAGTGTGGATTCTGGGCCATTGATCTGGGTATCTATTCACTATGGGCGATGAGCTCCATGAAGGCATACCTCCTCCGAGTCACTTTGGTCTTTCACAGCAAATGTTTGAGAGATGATCACAAATGGATTGTTGACAAATTATCTGGAATGTGAATCAGTCCCCAGTGTGCTCCCAAGCAATACTTTGCGGCCTCATCCCCTTCTATTTCCCTGTTCCAACCCTACTGGGGCCACGTCAGGCCTTTTGCTGACTCTGAGAATCTGTGTCTCAGTTGCTGCCTGGCATCTTTCCCTATCCACCTTCCTTTCTTCCTTCCTCCTTTCCTTTCCTTTCTTCCTCCCTCCCTTCCTTCCCTCCTTCTTTGGTGTTGTGCTTTGCTTTGGAGATATGGTCTTTGGTGTGTAGCTCAGTTGGCCCTGTACTCAACTGTGTATCAAAGGCTAGTATCAATGACTCTATGCTCTCTATAGAATTATGGGTATATTCCTCCATGCTCAGCCAGTGAGACAACTTCTTTGTTAAACTTCTAGTCATCTTCCAAGACTTAGATTAAATTCAAGCCCCAAACCTGGATTTGACTCTCTGAGGCAGTGATGTTTCCTTGCAGGTCTTTGCTCCCACTGTTGTCATTGCTGTCTCTCTCAGACATTCACCCATTTCCTTCCATCAGGTCCCTCTGTCCTGTAGGAGCATAAGTGCCACAGATTGGCTAATAAATCAAAACATGAGCACCTTTATCTCAGTCCACACCTTGGACAAACTAGCCCACATTGCGTGCTCTTTCTCCTACCATCTTTGATTTTTAATAAGATTATAAGTGTTTTAATTCCACTTTTATATTAACACATTCTATTTATTTGCACACACACACACATCTTTCTAATGTTATGATGATTTATCCTGTGGTAGAAACTGAAGTGGAGACATTAATTTAATACCTTAGCCAATTCCAGGTAAAAAATACAATGAAGATTTCTTAAAACCAAATGCACCAAATTTACATAAGCCTCTAATGTATTCATACATGTCAAACAAAGGGATAGGGTCATCATTGTGAAGTGGCAACCAAGGGAAGTCAGAAGGTCCTAGTGTGGTTTTGATTGTTCCCCATCTGTCTTATTTTGGCATTTTAAATTTACACCAAGGGAAAGTATGGGGAGACACATGGCAGCCCTGTGCCTACAGTCACTTTATAGAATCACAGAGACAGGTTGAGAGCAGAAAACTGGGCAAACTGAGGCACACATCTGCCCTCAGGGTCTAGGTTCATATAGAAACAGGTAGTGTTGTCTCCTTTCCCATATGTTCAAATTCTGGAGACTAGCTGCAAACCCAGTGGCATTCCAAGTAGAAATGGAACATACTGAGCTAAGAGAAGAAAATTTTGAGGGAGGATGCTTAGAAAAACCTTTTCAGGATGTAAAGCCCCAGGTTTCCTAGTCAGAGTTAGAGGGCACCTATCTTCAGCCCTCAACTCTCACTGTCATTGGACTTAGAAAAACAATTTTTACAGCAATACTCTAGATTTAAATATGTATTTTAGGAGGGAGGAGGTTGGCACATGAAGTGAAAAGATCATTCAGATTTGTATGCTGTGTCCTCTCTGAAAGGAGCTGGAAGCCTGATAGGAGTACTTCATTCAACAACAGGAAAGCTAAATTAATGAACTACTCCCAGGAGGAGAAATGGGGAAGGTCCCTATCTATGGAGCAGGGTGGTATAGACTTCTGACCACCCTTCATCAATTCTTAGTAGAAACCTTGGGTATCACCATCTGTTAAACAGCAGGAGGATGTTCATGTAAAATTCCTCCCACCACCTCTGTTACTCTTAGGTGGTTCCCCTCCCTTTAATGTAAGCAGTGTGCTCCAAGTTCTGAGGATAGGCGCTGTCCTAGTTTTTCCATACAGTGTGTGTGTGTATGTGTGTGTGTGTGTGTGTGTGTGTGTGTGTGTGTGTGTGTGTGTGTGTGTGTGTGTGTGTGTGGTTTCGGGGTTGACCACTCAGTATTAGATAACCAATTAGAGGTTCCATCCCAAGAAGAAGCTAATTCTCCCTCTCCCATCAGTTATTAGTTATATTTGGCCTTATTTTTACACCAAGTGCATAATATAATGGGGAATTTACATGTTGAAAGATGTGAGTCTTCTCTACCTTGTGTTATAGATCTCTCGAGTCATTCGCACTCCTCGGGGAAATGCCCTTCTGGTTGGCGTGGGCGGATCAGGAAAACAAAGCCTGACAAGGTTGGCTTCCTTCATCGCTGGCTATACCTCTTTCCAGATCACTCTGACAAGGTAAGAACTTTTATGTTGCCATAAAATGGATTTTGAAGAAAGGTTCTCAGAGGTCACCAGCAGTTAAGAATGCATTTTCTTATGTGCACTAAGAATCACAATAGTTTTTCTCCTTGAATAGTGACATGTCTTCCCCTTTCCACCTTTGTCATGGACCAGAACATTTTCTATTAGTAACCTGCTTTTGAAACAGTTCAGCCTCTCAATGCAGAGCATTGATGCTTCTTTGTGTTTATTTTTTAATGTAGTATAAGCACTAAGTGTATCCTTTGTATCTTTTAGAAGGCATTTATATATTGCAAGTGTTAACTGCAGATTTCAGCAACATTTATATAATGGAAAATAGTTGAGAAATTTATACATATAAACACTAAAATATTAGTTGAATATTGAGTAAATATTGAATACTATCTGGGGGAAGAGGGCTGTGTTAGCTTCCTGTTCCTAGGGGAAAATAGCTGATGATCAACTTAAGGAAGAAAGATTTATTTTAGCTCATGGTTATAAACAATGAGTGGTTAGCTCTGTTGGGTGTGGATTTGCAGTGAGAGAAAATCATGGTGGGCTGTGCATTGTTGTGTGGTAAAGCAAGGCATGGAAATAGAGGAGAAAGAAGTAGGAGAACAAGACACATACACACAAAAAGAGAGACAGACACACAGAGACAGAGAGACACACAGAGACAGCGGCAGAGACAGACAGAGAGGGACAGAGAGAAGAAGTAGAGATGGAGGGTATGAAAGAGGAACACGTGTGCATCTTAACACTTTCCCCCAAGAGCATCCCCCAAGGCCCAGTGAGCAAACTTTCCATTCATTGCTGCCACTTTCTAAGGTTCTGACACTTCCCAATGACACTACATGTGGGACCAAGTCACGAACACATGGGTCCTTAGGTGGTAGTCCTGGACCAATGGATAGCACAGATAATGCTAGCCATTGTCATTGCGGTGCTTACAGCAACTCAAAGGGGACAGGCGATTGGCACTTCAACAAAATGTGCTCTATAGGAACCATCTGTGTATCACAGGAAAATAAGTGCAGACAACCAGAAAAAGCTTCTGGAAGAAATGATGTTAAAGTGAAACCTGCATCTGAGTAGGAATTCTAGAAGAAAACATTTCAGGAGCTTCCAGGCAAACTTGGAAGAATCAAATATGGCTGAGTGTGGAATGTGAGATGGCAAATGGGAATGCACGAGCCATGGAGGCATTTGAAGGTATAGTAAGGAATTGATGTATCACCATAGAGTAATAGGAAAGCATTAATGGGTTACCAGTAAAGGCATGCGCACGCGCGCGTGCGCGCGCGCGCATGTGTGTGTGCATGCACATGACTGTGTTCGCACACATGTGTGATTTGTATGTCTAGCAAATGGATGGAAAGAACAAAACTGATGTAGTTATAAAGCTATCTTAGGGGTCTAGACAAGACATAATATAGCCGTGGGGCGTGGCAGTAAGAAGAGAGAAATGGATGGTGGAAATCCAGGAGATTGTTAGCAAAGTGGAGCTCTGCTTGGCAATTCTGGTTTTGGGGATAAAGAATTATGTAGATAGTCATTATTCATGAAGAGAGGGAATTCCGAGTGAGTTGTGTCAGGTGTGTGTGTGTGTGTGTGTGTGTGTGTGTGTGTGTGTGTGTGTGTGTGTTATAGGTACAAAGCAGAAATAGCAAGTGAAAAGTGAGCATGAAGAGGTAAGTAGAGGTGACTCAAAGAAGTCAAACTAAGTTTCATAAAGGCAGTTTGGGAAGTTTAGTTGAGATGAAATCATTAGCATTTAATGCAGACACGTATAGGAGAGAAGCCCTGCTCACTTGACATCCGTGGGAAACATGCCACTGACCTGTCTCACTGAGGGAGACCCATATGTGCGTGCTAGCTTGGAGACTGCAAGTTTTTAAATATTGGAGTTGGAGATCCTGTTATTCAAGCTGAGGTTGTCATACTTGGTGTGAATTATGGGACTCTGCTTACAGAATAAATCTAAACATTATTGTTTAGTACATGCAGCAGGATGACAGAAATAGCCCTGGTTACCATGTAATTTTGATCTGTGTGTAGTAGCCAACCTAGGGAAACAGACAACCTGCACAGGAGAAAGATGTGATCTATATATTTGTCACCACATTAGTATAAAACCTTACTGTTTTCAACTCATTTGTGCATATCTGAGCTGGTCAAATTTTCTAAAGAAGGTTGTTAGGAGATCAGGCAGCCATAGTCCATCTTGCAGCTGGAGTTCAGAGAGCCTGAGAATTGCTTGACATCAGACAGAGTAGGGGAATTGATTGCACTGCAGGATTTGCAATCAATCCCAGTGTCTAGTCAAGTGTGACTCCTACTGCAACCCAATGGCTCAGTAAACACCTACAACTCTCACGGTGACAAATTGGTTCCTCTGCACATCACACTGAAAATGATCCATTACCAACGAGAGGAAAGGCAAGGTCTTCCTCACCTTCTCTTACCCTTAGAGACACCATCTAATTCCATAAGCCACAGATGATTGGCCAACGCTGGCCGGAGCAGCCTCCCAGCTGGGATGCACAGTCAATTGGTCATATTATTTGAGGGCAGTAATTTTCCCCTTTCAGTCTAGAAGCTGGATGAGATTTGCATTCTCTCTCACTCACTCTTTTTCTCTACCTCTCGTGTGTGTGTGTGTGTGTGTGTGTGTGTGTGTGTGTGTGTGTGCACATGTGTGCACGCACATTGGAGGTCAGAGGTCAATCTCAGGCATCTACCTCAATGCTTTGTGTCTTAGAATTTGGAGATAGACTTTCTCACAAACTCAGAGCTATCAATTCAGCTAGATTAGCTAGCCATCGAGTTACAGACCCTCCTGACTCTGTCTCCTGAGCACTAGGGTTCCAGTTCTACACCCACTGTGCCTAGTTTTATTTTAAACACACTCCCTGGGGGATGGACCTTAGGTCCTGTGTCTTGTATAGCAAGCACTTTACTGACTGAGACTTCTTCCCAGCCCTCCTTCTCTCTTTTAAAGGGAAGAGTGTGTCTTGAAAATACTGTTGTTTTATAATCACTTAGCCTTTGTTTCTAATATTAAAATCTGTCCTGGTCAGTTTTCTGTCTACTTGACACAAGTTAGAGTTATTTGGGAAGGGGAATCTCAATTGAGAAAATGCCTCAAGCTGGCTGCCTGTAGGCAGATTTGTAGATAATTTTCTTGGCTAATGATTGATGTAGGAGGGACCAGCCTACTGTGGGCGGAGCCACCCATGTGTATGTAGTACTGGATGGTGTGTGAAAGCAGGCTGAAAATCCATGTGGTACAAACCAGTAAACAGTATTCTTTCATGGCTTCTGCTTCCATTGCTGCCCTGCTTTTGGTCATGTTTTTTAAATCACAGCAATAGAAACCATAACTAAGGCTATGATTGTAGATTTGGTTTACAGATATTAAAAGAGTTTAGATATTAATTACTTATTTAGTATCTTAAAAAACAAGATCAAGTGGCTCTTTTATGCTGTACTGAGTTCTGAGTTTATTTTAAGCACACACACACACACACACACACACACACACACACACACACACACACAGAGTAAATCTAAGTCTCTGGAAATGAAATATTTTCTTTCAAACTCTTTCAAACTCACTGCTCTAGCATTTCTTGATTGTAGGATGATTTCTATCTGAGGATTGCTCTGGGGGAGTGAAAGGAGGTTTATGGTAGGGTGTATATCATATGTTTCCAGCTAGTCTGATACAATGTACTGATTGCTCTGAAACTAACACTTTTATGCGGAATCCAAAGATGTGGGGTAATATGATTTTAAGAAATGAGAAGGACACTGTGGGTCATGATTTGGCTTTTTTCTCCCAAATCATGAAAGCTTGAATCGATTTAGTCTAGTTTAGTTCAATCTATGAGGTATCTTCTAACATGTCCTTTGCTGATGGGTGCTTAATATATCTAATTATTATGTCTAACATATATCACCCTTGTCAATATGTATTTTCAAAATGGTATGGGCATGCAGTCACATGACATATAAGCATGTAGGCAATATTTGCTTGTATTAAATTACATTTGTTTCAGGTTTAATTTTTCTCTTGGTAATGTTTTTGTGTGCCAAAATATTAATTGCAGTATCTGTGGGGTATGAAGTTAAAGAATCAATTAACTCATACTCATAGATAGTATGTATCCATATAATGGAATAAAACCAGCATTGTTTGATTGGCTAGGCAGCATAAAGCTCTTGCCTTCCTATGGGCATATTTACATGACTGACACTATGATAACGTTTCTTCAGATCCTACAACACATCAAATCTTATGGAGGACCTGAAGGTTTTATATAGGACCGCTGGCCAGCAAGGCAAAGGAATCACTTTCATTTTCACAGACAATGAGATTAAAGATGAGTCGTTTTTGGAATACATGAACAATGTTCTATCATCAGGCGAGGTAGGAGCTCAGTTATTTTCATACCCTTGCCTTTCCAGATTCCTCCCAATGTAGAACTCTCCATCTTTTTCTTCCTGTAGATATTTAAGTTAATGTTCTTGGGAATTTGGCAATCATCCTGACAAATGGCTTTCTCTATTAGGTTTTTAAAGACTAAAACTCCCAATTAGGATATAAAGCTAGGCATTTAAAACATAGAAGTGAAAAATGACCTATGTGGCTTGGAAGGCCAAACTCTTGGTGTGTCCGTTTACCATCTCTATCTCTGTGGTTTTGCAGTTAGTCGCAGAGACATCTCTGTGTGTTAAGGCATGATGCATTTCATCTGGAAAATTTTAAGTTCATTTAAAAAAGGTGAACTTCAGAGCACCAATGGAGGAAAAGTCTTGGACCTTTTGAGTGTGCACTTTGATGGTTTTATCTGTTTATAGTGAATTTATATTGAGTGTGTACTTTGGTTGTTTTATCTGTACACACTGAATTTGCATGCTTGTATTTCCTTCTGAGGTCTCCAACTTGTTTGCTCGGGATGAAGTGGACGAAATTAATGGTGACCTGACCCCGATCATGAAAAGGGAGCACCCCAAGCGTCCGCCCACCAATGACAATCTGTATGAGTTTTTCATGAGCAGGGTCCGAGGGAACCTTCACATTGTGCTGTGCTTTTCACCCGTCGGAGAGAAATTCCGAAACCGAGCTTTGAAGTTCCCGGCCCTTATTTCAGGATGCACAATCGACTGGTTCAGCCGATGGCCAAAGGATGCTTTAGTTGCTGGTTAGTGTGATGGAAGAAATTGTGTTCTCCTTCACAGGGACTTGTTATTAATTCATTTACTTTCTCTGCTACCTGGTGTGTCTGCAATGGGTGGAACAACTCCTGCCCAGTGATGGAGGGCTTTTGCAACAACATGATGCCCTTTTTAACTTGGTAGCTTTTGTTGTTGTTCTTAAGTATGTTTGTCAGAGATCGAACTCTTCCAATTATGCCCCTTTGATTATATCTCTACTGACCTCAGTTTTTCAAAGGTAATCAAAGGCTTTGCCTTCATCACGGTTTGTGATCTACACTTAGTTGGGTGTTTGTTGAGCTGTGTTTATTAGTCCTACTGGGTGACATCCCCCACGATGCCAAGGATGATGTGTTCCTGTTGACAACATCAGCAGCTGTCACCGTATGGTATGGTGTCAAATGAGTGAATCAGGCCATTTGAACATTCACCATTCTCCCATAATTTGAACTTAATTTATTTATAGTCTTTCTTTATCCTGACATGCCATCTCTCCTATCTTTAGAAATGCCTTCTTACCCTTTAAATCTTCCTATAACTCATCTCCCATCTTTGTTTATCCAAGTACCAAAGCTAGTCAAGACCCAATCACATACTTTGATAATTTTGTTACAAAGTTTTTAAAAAAATATTTTTTAAAAATTTCCTCCTTTCATTAGTATTTTTCCCTGGTGTAAGAAGGGACTTTGAGAGCCCATCCCACGTGAAGGGTTACACTCTGGCCCTGGACACAGACATGCGAAACAAGCTTGTTCCCTAACTTGAACTAACAAAAAAAAAAAAGAAGAAAAAAAAGCATTAAAAAAATTTCCTCCTTTCTTGGCTTTCCTGTATCTTTAATATCTACATTGTATACACTGTCATTGCCATTTAAGTAGTTTGAAAATTTGATAACTAGTAAGTTGTTGAGTTGATATCTTCAAATGAGTTTAGTAATATCTATGACTTACATACTGTATGGATATTTAGTACCATATAAGACCTAGTAACAGGTAAAATAACTACTATGACGCATGCAAAATTATTCATTTATTGTTAGGAAATATGAAATCTTGTTCAGGAAGGCAACAATTAAACTCTTATATTACCTTACCTTACAACTTTTTGGAAATTTAATCATTTGAAGCACAGGAATTTCATATACATACACAACAGGTATTTTAATACACGCAGAGATTAGGTTGATATTTATTATATTTTAAAAATCTCGGATTGGGAGATGACTCTGGTTATGAACACTTGCTTTATAAGTATAAGTGAGTATAGGGAAAATCTGGGTCTCTTACTGGGAATCTTAAAAGAAGCTTAAAGGCAATTTTATCAGATATTAAAAGAAAACTAAGGGAAACTTTGAAGAAAGAGTAAGGAAGCCAAAGAGGTTGGCAAAGCCTGTAGTGTTAGGGAAAGCATGTGGAGAGAAGAGATAGAGAGAAGAAAGGGAGAAGTTACACTTTTCTGGGTAATTTAGAAAATCAGGCCGACCCGTGAAGCTGCATGTTTGTAGCCCTGGATTGGGTGTTGCTATAAGATTTCTGGTGCAGCAGGTCCCGCTGTCCTTCTCAGCCCCAAATAAACACAAAGACACTATATTAGTTATAAAACTGTTGGCCAATGGCTAGGGCTTCTTATTGGCTAGCTCTGTCTTAATTATTAACCCATAACTATTAATCTATGTATTTCCACATGCCTTACTGGAGAAGGGTCCGAACCTCTAAGTCCTTTGGTGGCTCACATGGTGACTCCATCTGCCTACATTTCTCAGAATTCTCCTCCTCGTCTCCTAGTCTGGTAGCCCCACCTATCTTTCTGCCTGGCCAATCAGTGTTTTATTCATCAACCAATAAGAGAAACATATATATGGAAGAACAGTTGGGGATTGTGGGAAGGAAAAGTACATCATATAACTAAAGGATTTACTATTCCTCAGCTTAAGGTGAGCTCACCTTATCTTTAGCCAGGTGATTGACCAGGCCCATCACCTGAAATGTCAGGTCCCACTTAGGCAATAGACTCTGTTCTCTTGACGAGAAGTATTTTCTCTTAGTAGGCTTCACTGCTACTCTGTCATAAGGACCTGAGAGAATCCTTAGGATTCACTGAAAAATCTAGGTATGGCTGTATACATCCCTGTAACTCATCATTGTATGTGTGCCTGCTGGGGAGAGGGAGATGGAGGACACAGTAGGGCATGCTAGCTGCCAGTGTGGCTCCAGGTTCAGTGAGAGATCCTGTCTCAAAGGAATGAGGCCTGCCTCATGCCACCAAGTGTTCTCTCACTTATATGCCCCTCCCTGGTCAACACCATGGGATGTTTATTATTACTTATACTAACAGAAAACCTCAGTAAGGATTGCATTCCATTCATGTAGCCACTTTTCTTTTTGTTCCCCCTAAAATAAAAAAAAATGAGATGAATTTTAAGGACTTTCAAATGTAGTGATGAACATTTCCATGTTGTTAATGCAACCAGAGTTGAAAGGAATTAAAGGACTGACAGATAGGTTCTGAGTTAACAAAAGAATAAATGGTCTGACTGGCAGGTGGGCACTGATGTCTGTTGTTTGAATCACTTTTGTCCTTATGCAGCCCCTAAAACAGGCTGGCTGCCACTGGATCCTGCAGCTGTGCAGAGGGAACTTCTCTACAAAAGCGCCAGAAAACAAGGAATGGTGATAAGCCTAAAGTTTTTATAGTGTTTTATATGAGAGGGACAATAAAAGTGCTGATGTCTTAGGCTTGGGATCCAAAGTACTGAGAGGCGTTTCTCTTTCGGTGACAAAGATTGTATGCTGATCTAGGAAATGACTGTCTTTTAGACACAGCCAGGCAACTCTGAAAGAGGCAATTGGTGTACCTGCTTCACACACCGTCATCTTTATTCTTCCTAGTGTCGGAACATTTCCTCTCATCCTATAATATCGACTGCAGTGTGGAAATCAAGAATGAAGTGGTCCAGTGTATGGGCTCCTTTCAGGACGGGGTGGCTGAGAAATGTGCTGAATATTTCCAGAGATTCAGGCGCTCTACCCACGTGACACCCAAATCATACCTCTCCTTCATTCAAGGCTATAAGTTCATATATGGAGAAAAACACACAGAAGTGCAGAGCCTGGCCAACAGGTGAGTGTGAAGGTCAAAGGAAAGTCATCTCCAAGCACCAGCTCTCATCCCTGAGCCAAATTGTTGGTTGGATACAGTTTGAAATGACCAGAGACATTATTGGTGGTCACAAATGGGGTTCTAAAGTTAGGTTAGGGTGGGGTCAGCACTTTTTCATGGAAAGGACAGTGAATCAACTTAAACATTCCTTACATGGTGGATCACCAAATTGCATGGATTCAAATGCATTAATAATACCAAAAATGCATCGGTGTTGCATAAAGAAAAATAAAACAAAATAAACAAACAACAACAACAACAAAAAACCCAAAGCACTTATCCTCAGAGTAGTTTGCTCAATAGTGACCTTAGACTTGAATTCTGTACTTCTCTCTCTGTGTCTTCCATTGTCTCTCTTGACTCTAATCTGTCTGCTGTTTGAGTCTGAAACTGTGCCTGCCTGAATGTTGTCATGCATTTATCTCTGGATCAGGGGCATAGAAAAGTATGTCTTAAGATTAAAGCTATGCACTAGCTTGGATTGTAAAGGTTGATTAAATGCAAAATCCAAGGCAAGAAAGGTTTGTTGTTAAATTTTGCTTGCAGGCAGGTTAAGCAAACAGCCAGACTATACAGTAGGATATCAGTCTTAAGTGACTTCAAGCTGTATTACTAACTCAGGCTGTGAGGTTCAGCAAAAGTTCCGGTCTTCTAGAACATGAGAGTTGTTTTCACAATGTTGCATCACCATCGGACAGAGGCCAGGGCAGCCCCCTAAGCAAGGAATCATCCAGCCCAAAATCATTAGTGCTGAGGTTGTGAACCCTCTTTTAGAGTCCTACTGAGCACTATTCTGGACTCCTGGCAGCTTTACTATTGCTTAATGTGAGCAAATTTCCCATGTCTTATATGGACTGCCACTTTTTAAGATATTGATTGACCTAATTATATAATAGATGTGGAAGGGATTTCCATTCTACATCCTCTCATGCTTTGCATCCCAATCCCATGTATGTGATCAGGGTAGAAGAGTCGGGTTGATGGTAACAGTCATAGCGAAGTGAATATCCTGTGTTACTGAAGTTTGAACTCAAATATCACTGATTTGCTCTATATTTTTCTCAACATTCACATTTTCTCCCAGAAAGTAGCCAAAAGTAGCCAAGATTACAATGTAAGGGATCTCTGGGTAGGAAACTAGATTATATGTAAGGGATCCCTGGGTAGAAGACTGTATTATATGTGAGAGATCTCTGGGTAGGAGGCTGGATTATATGTAAGGGGTCCATGAGTTGGATGTCTAAATGCCTCCAAGGTCTCTCGTTTCTAGAGAACATTATTTCAGGTCTATAGCAGGTAGCTAGTTCACATCTATTCTCATTTAAAATTTATTTTGTTTCTTGAGTACAAATCTTTCTTTTTTAAATTTCATTGGGCTATTTTGAAAAACATAAGTTATTTTCCTTTCAACAACATAGGGCTTTGGACATTTGAAGTATATTGTTATTAGGCCCTGCGTGGTATAGTCTAGATCATGGTTGCCGCTCATGCTATGTACATGTTTTGGTGCCTTTACTCCTATTCACAGTTCATAAAGAACATGCAGCTGTGAGTGTGGAGCTCAACCTAGATATACTTCCTAGGTGAGGCCCCCTTATGTTTGCTTTCTTAAATATTCTCCTTTAAATATGGCCTGCCACTATTACTGGTGAAGTGACACTTGAAAACAAGAGCACTTGCTACAAATATTAACATTGCTTGTGCGGACTTTTCAATCCCAGAATGAATACTGGATTGGAAAAGCTAAAAGAAGCTTCAGAATCGGTTGCAGCCCTGAGCAAAGAACTGGAAGTAAAAGAAAAGGAACTACAAGTGGCCAACGACAAAGCTGACACAGTAGGTGGACAGCCATGGCTTGTAGATATTTATTTCTGTTATTGTAAAATACTTATTGCTCTATATGAAAACTGGACAAGTGGACAAAATCAGTACACCAAGGTAAAGAGTAGTGTGCTGCCTGTGAACTTTGATGAATTTTTTTCCCCTTATTCAATTAGGTCTTAAAAGAAGTCACAATGAAAGCACAGGCTGCTGAAAAGGTCAAAGCTGAGGTGCAAAAGGTGAAAGACAAAGCTCAGGCCATTGTAGACAGCATCTCCAAGGACAAAGCCATCGCTGAAGAGAAACTAGAGGCAGCAAAGCCAGCTCTAGAAGAAGCAGAAGCTGCACTCCAGGTGACTTGGAGGGACGTGGCAGGTACTCCCGAGAAAGCTACATGGGCCAGACCAAAGCTGTCTCCACAGTGTCTACAGAGACTATCAACCCTCTAGATCCCATATAGACAGATTAACATCTCGGGCTCATTTTTAAGGGATAATGAGCCCTGTCACAAAATAGCAGCCAAGAATCTAGGGTTGTTACTTCAGCTTTTTCATTAATAGTCTCTGTGACAGTGGGAAAGTTGCATGAAGTTTCCAAAAGGTTGCCTGACTCACTGAGGACTTTGAAGTGGGTGGTCCTGTGAGATGAAGCTTTCTCTGAGTCCGTTTGTGAATCATCCAAATAAAGACTGCTGATTTAATGTGGCCCGTTAATGACAGAGGCAGACTGGCTTCCAATAAAGTCAGTGCAATTGTGTGGCCATAACAGAAAGGATAAAATGGCAAAGGATGTGGTGTTTTGAAAAATATAATATGTTCCATGAACTAGACAGTGACTTATAGGAAGGTCAGTATTGAAGGATGGATGTAGGATTCTTTTTAAAAGATACTATTAATTCATTTCTAATCATCTATTCCCTTAAGCTATTGATCTTTGGCTTAGAAATGGATGAAAAACAAACCCAAAAGAGTTATGCTGCACGTCCACTGCTAACTCAAGTTATTTGACCTCAGTTGGGCATGGATCACTGCTTCATAATGAAAGTCTGTTCTCTTACTACTTTCTTAGCATGAGGCCTGAAATTACTAAGTCCTTTTTGATCCAAGTCATTAGGGTTTTTTTTCCTTTAGGCATTTCTGACCCAATGGTGTAGTTCTGTGGTAGAGTGCTTGCTTGGCAAGGCTTTAGGTTTAGTTCCCAGTATCACAAATAACAATAGCAAACATTATATGCATTTCTTACCTATTGAGATAATGAAGATCTCACCTTCTATTTCTCTGGCTTTCTATATTATACTTGTATTTGACTTGTGTTCCCTAATTGTTTCTCACTTTCCTGTGTTGTGGATAAACTACCCTCATCTATCCTTCAAGCTCTTCTGGGTCTTTAGCCCCTAAGATCCGTGGACATTGCAGACTTTCCTCTCCCACCATTATGTCACAATTATGTTACATTGTCTGTATGTACATGTTACATTGATCAACATAGAGAGGACAAGGGCACTATACCAGAACTTTTAAAACCAAGCTGTATCCAGGGTACTGGTAATCACAGGACTAGAGCTTATGGTTTCTCAGGTATTGTTTTCAAAAGGAAGGCCAGCATTTCCCTTAGAGTTAAAAAGTTGACATCATCCTTTCATATTGTCAGATGTTTTTAGTATTCCTCTAAGTTACTGTTACCTACAGCTAAAATATTCTGCATCATATAACCATAGGTGTAGACATACATAGGAGCCAAAAAAGGTGTCAGTCAACTTCCTGTTACTATAACAAAGTGCTGGAGATAATTCATGTATGAAGAGACAGGGCTTGTTTTAACTTACAGTCTTAGTGTTTTGAGTCTTGTATGAAGCAGCATCAGATGGCACATGGAAAAATGCTGCTCACTTTATGGACAGGAAGGAAAAGAAGAGGGAAGAAGCTAAAGCCCCAACATCCCCGTCAAAAGGGCAGGGCTCCATAATGGTTTTCTCCAGGGTTCTACATCCAAAAGGCCCCCAGCACATTCCAGCAGTATCACCCTGGATATCAATCCTGAATTTTTGGAGGACAATCAGCATCCAAACCACAGGAACATGCATAGAAGAGAACTTTATAATTTTCTCTATTGATCCTATGAATTTCTTACGGGGTCATTGTGTTTCTGAGATCTTGAAATGTGGTATGGTCAATCTGTCCTAAGAAAATTCCAAATACAGCTAGATTCTAACATTGCAGCCTCAGGTTTATGTCAATCTGAAAAAAGTCAACAATAAAGAATATGTCCGATGGGTCTGATGAGATATCTCAGTGGTTTAGAGCGCTTGATGTTGGAGAATGCAGTTCAATTCCCAGTACCCACACAGTGGCTCATGACTTCATAATTTCAGTTCTGGGGTTTCCACACCCTCTTTTGACGTCTGGGTGAGCTAGGTAGGCAAGCAGTGCACATACATACATACAGGCATTCACAACACATTAAATAAATAAATAAATGAAGAAATGAGTCCCTTCCTACCTTAATGTTTAGTCAGACTTTAACTAGCTGACAGAATGAATAAATTGTGTTCAAATGGTAAATGACTCTTACATTGCCACGGTGCATAGGGTCTTACATAGCAGCCACATTACTACACCTTCGGAAAATAGAACTTAATAGCTATCTGAAGCATGCTGGTCTCTAGGTAAAGTGTCAGCGCCCACTCCTTTCCCCGAGTGCATGACGTCAGAGTGCAACTGTCAGCTTATGTAATTGATGCATTTTTGTAGAAGTGTAACTTAATCCTAGTTTCCCCACTGGCTGTTGCACTCTTTCTCTCCTTTTTTTTTTTCCAGAACTCATATTTCTCAGACAAGGGTCTGACATTTTTTAGCTCTGTATCTCCAGGTTTATTTTCAAGCTGCTTAACTTTCAGAAATGCTGGTAGGTTCAGACACATGTCTTCACAGCAAATCACCAAGTTCAGTAAGAGTGTGTCCTCCAACTTCAGAGAATGTCCGTCTTCTGTCAGGCAGATGGAGATGAAACAGAAGTCCTTAAGACACAGACACAAGGGTGTCCTAGAAGTAAGCCCGAGTTAGATTCATCTTTACCCCAATACTGATTTCATGACAAGTTCAGCAGAGAGAGTGTCACCAAGCAAAAAGAGACTGTTTACTAAGTAATTTACTGCTTAAGAACACCTGTACTAGGATTGGAGTAGAAGCTTCCCTAGAACTGTGTGAAATTCAGATTGCCCAGGTCCCTTCACTTAAAGGTCAGTTCCCAGCTAAGAAACTTCTAATTATTTAATCTGTCAGCCCCAAGGCTACCCTCTGGTGTCTGTCCACTCTGACAGCCTGAGTTGCTTTAGAGAGAGGCAGATTCTTGACCTACATAGCTAACGAGCGAAAAGGCACTGTGACTACGGTATTTTTTTTTCCTTCCAAATTCCGATAGCTACTTAAGTGCTGAGTATTTTGTTTTAGAGTACTTTTTTTTTTTTAACACAAAGAAGTCTGTATACTTTTAGGGAAGTCACAGCTCCTTATTTGCTCACCAACATTTCTCTCCTCTTGCTGCTCGTTAGAATTGTAAATACCTGGCCTCTGCAACACCCCAGTCCCACATAGAAACACACATGTAAGAGTCAGCAGCTAGCAACTGAACGTGAGAGTGCATGAACACGCAGTGCACGCCTCCTGAGCCTGGGCTATCTCACCAAATATAAAAAATAATTCCAGATCCATGTATTAAATGCTGAGATTTTTAAGGGGATAAAGTGGGGAGGATAATGGAGTATGTGTGACATGAAAGTGAGAGGCAGGCTACTGGGGGTGTTCAATACGGGGGGGGGGGTCAGAAAGAGTGGTGGAGAGGAGAGAGGTGGGAATGGCAAGGGCCAACCAAAGCTAAGTATGTATGACAATGCCATTAAGGAACCTGCCACAAGGGCCTGAAGAGACCCAGCTCAAATCATGCCCTGTTCTTGCAGAAGACTCCAGTTTGGTTGCTAGCATACCTGTTGGTTGGACCGTAACTTCTCATAAGTCTAGCTCTAGAGGGATGCGATGTTCTGAGGCTCACAGACATCTGCACTGACATGCACATAGTACTCCCATTAAATGATGAAAAATACAATATCTTAAAAAAATGAAACTTAAAAGACATATCATTACACCAGGTCCTCTGAAAGAGCAGCCAGTGCTCTTAATCTCTAAGCCATCATTTCACTTCAGAAAAAGGGGCATTGCCTACCAAGTGCACACCAAGAAACCTTTTCCCAAAAAAAAAAAAAAAAAAAAAAAAAAAAAAAAAAATGAAACTTGCAGCTAATTTTAAAAAAGCTAATTTTAAAAAATAAACGTTATAAAAGAATTATAAAGAATTTTTACTTTGTAGGACAGTCATTTCTTTGGGCTTAAATGTGCATCTATACCTATGACTCTTAGTTTAATGATGTTGTCTGTCCTATGTTGAGACAGCAGCATTTATACATGACAGTTTGTCTGAATTCCTATCTGAGCTTGGATGCTCCCCTGTTCCATCCTGCAGACCATCAAGCCCTCTGACATTGCCACAGTGCGTACACTCGGCCGACCCCCTCACCTCATCATGCGGATTATGGACTGTGTGTTGCTGCTGTTTCAAAGGAAGGTCAATCCGGTGAAAATTGACCTAGAGAAAAGCTGCACTGTGCCTTCCTGGCAGGAATCTTTAAAACTGATGACAGCAGGGAACTTTCTCCAGAACCTACAGGTTGGTCTTTCAGTGCTAATGGACTAACTAGGAGGGGGACCCAGTTGGTTGAGTCTTTTAATAGAATTCATTTCTAAAAGTGACTCATTCTACGTATGCATTTTGGAAATGCATGTGAGTACTCTTTGGTAGTAGAATTTTCTCTTTCAAACGTAAGACACGAGTGTGAGATCTTTCCTGGACACTTTCGGCTATGTTGACACACATACTCCAAAAAAAGTGATCAAGTCCTTCTAACGAGACTAAATATGTATGTACTGTCTGCCTATAAACACAAATTCAGTTATCCCTCAACATTTTCTTGATTCCCAGTGGATGCAAAAATGTGAGGACGCTCAGGTCCCCTATGTAAAATGACAGACTTCACATATATCCTTGTGTGTCCTCCTGTATGCTGCAAATGACTGCTAGATTCTTTATGATCCTAACACAGTGTGAGTGCTGCATAAATAGTCACTATACATCTTGTCCTTGCGAGATGATCTATATCTCACTCTATATCCTACTTGATCTCGTGATCCTCCTGCCTCAGCCTCTCCAGGGCTGGGATCATCAGCATGTGCTACCACGTGCAGTCTGTTATACTACATTGCTTAGGAAACAATGATGAGAAAGAAGTCTATACATGTTCAGAACAGACATGATATTTCTCATGAATATTTTTGGTTTGTCTTTGGAGTCTATAAGTACCAAGGATATAATTACTGTCTGTGCTCAAATTTATAATTTAATGTCTACAGTGGTACTGTTAGAAGAGTAATTTGTATGTGTTTTTAAATTTTGTTGTATTTGTAATGTACAAATTTTAAGTGTACCACTTGATGAATGTGCATATACACATTAATCATTACCAAAAGTGAAATACATATATTTAGAATCCCTGTCCTGCTTAAATCCAGTCAGTTCCCTCCCAAAAAATAATTATTGCTTTCTCCTGATCATCATCGTCTGTTTAGAAATAACTAAAATCACATACAAAGCCTTGCTTTGACCTTCATTCACTACATAGATGAGACTTATTCTTATTGTGGCAAAAGGCAACGTCCATTCTTTTTCAGTTATAGCTTCTAGTGTTTTGTGGTAAGGATATAATAATTAGATTTTATTTTGGGAAGGAAAATAAGAAAAAATAAGAAGAGAGAAAAAAAGACATTGGTCATTAGTCTTTGCACAGTGTAACCACTCCCAGAAAGACCAGTTTCAAACTCCAAAAATGATGCTGGAGACAGAGATAAGAAGGTAGAGCAGCATGACCTCCTGTAGAATTACATCATGCAGGTGCTGTGGGCTCCAATGACCTACAAAATGTTGGCGACAGGAAGCATTATAGAGTCAGGAGAAACTGAGTTCTGACCATAAGTTGCCTTTATTTTAAATAAAATTATGTGATAGTGAGTGTATGCAACAGGGCTTAAATAGGCTTAACAACCAGTGTTTAGACTTTCTGAGATGTTTACAGTCATTTTTCATGAGATCCTTTTGATCAACACCTTGTGAAATAGGTGGTATGCTTTGATGGGTCTACTGGACTTTTGTAGTGAAAACAACCATTGGGTTCATTACTAAGTTTTGGCTATTAAAAATGAATATGCTGTCTGTACTGATGCACAGGACATTGGGGGCTGTATGTATAATATTTCAGTTTGCCATATTTGCAAGAGTAGGATTTCTGAGTCGTAGATTATACACTTAACCAGTTTTTGTAGACTGTACAAAAGAGTTTTTAAAAAGTCCTGTCGTTTTACACACTCAGCACCAAGGTATACTGGGCGGTGCTCCACATCATCCTCATTATTTCCTGCTTGTCACTATCCTCGTGTGTTTGATGGTGACAGTTTCTTTTTGTTAGGTCTTAATTTGCATTTTTCTGACAGCTAATGATGCTGAAAATCTTTTGGTGGGTTTGTAAACCTTTTAGGGATTGGTGTGTTAAGTGCTCGTTTGGGCTTCTCTCTCTAATTATTTCTTTTCTTTTTTGAACTTGTACTTGCATCATCTCCCCATCCCCCCTCAAAACCCTCTCATATACCCATCCTTGCTCTCTTTCAAGTTCACAGTCTCCTTTTTTCATTAAGTTACATACATATAAGTACATGCACATATATTCCTAAATAAAACTTGCTCAGTCTATATAATGTGACCTGTGTGTGTGTTTTCAGGCTAACTATTTGGTATTGGATAACCAATTGGTGTGCTCTTCCCTTGGGAAGACTGTTTCTCCCACACTCAGCATTCCTTAGTTGCCTGTAGTTGTTTGTGTAGTGTTGAGGACTTATGGAAAGTCTTCCTTGTCTACCTTGGCACATCTATTGGTGTCCCCTTGTCCAGCTCACATTTGGATGGTCATGTGAGTGAGGCTTTATGGGTGTAGTGTCTGGCATTCCTAGAAGATAGGATCTCTGATTCTTTGTCTCTTAACAATATTTCTTGCCCTCTTCTGCAATGTTCCCTAGCCTTAGATGTGGCAGTGTTGTGTAGATGTTTTCATTTTATGTGTTTGAGTGTTTGCTTGTATGCATGTGTATGTCTGTTGCTTATAGAAACCAGAAAACTAACCCTAACACTGACCCTTAACCCTAACCCTTAACCCTTAACCCTAACCCCTAACCTTAACTCCTAACCCTAACCCTAACCCTAACCTTTATCCCTAACCCTAACCCTAACCCTAACCCTAACCTTAACCCTAACCCTAACAGGAGTTGCAGATGGCTGTGACCCACCACATGGACGTTAGGAACTTACATACTTTGCAGGAGCAGCAAGTACTCTTAAGCACTGTGCTGTCTCCCCAGCCCCTTGCTAATGTCGCTTGTCTGTTTGAATCAAATAGTTTATAAATGCTGCAGATATCTTCAGCCACTTCTTGGCTTAATTGTTCACTTTATTAATACTGTCTTTTGCTAAGCAGGAGTTCCTAATGATAATGTAGAACTTTTTATTGATATTCTGCTTAATAGCACTTTCAGTGTTCCATTTAGATCTTGGTTTCCCTCTGAGGAAGAATAAATCCTTGTACATTTCCTCCTAGAAGTTTTACTGTCTTATCTTCCAGATGTAGATGTTGAGACATTACTAGGGAATACCCAATCCATGCCAATTTCAGAAGCTGCAACTTCAGCACCACCTCTCTTTCAGTTTTTCAGTTCAGCATCATTCATGTGGCTGCTGAAGCCATGGCATTATAAGTTGTCTTCTGCCTGCTGCATTAGTGCATAGCTTATGAAATTAGCAGGCTGTAGACTTGTCCAGCTTTGTGGACAAGGGACAGTGAGCCTAAGTGTTATATGCGAGACATTCAAGACTATGTGGCCATGGAATTGGACCTTGTGTAAATCCCCTGTGAGTGACTCCAGATTTCTCCCTTGTGCATATGATGAAAAACTCACTGCTCAGGGGATCCCCATCTCCACTATTATCTAAGTGTTGTGAAAGAAACTTGTGACAAGCAAGGTCTAAATTGAAAGGATTCTACTCTGCTCTACATGTTCTATGAAGGCTTGTTTTATGCAATTATTAGCTGCATGGAATATTTTAAAATTATTTCTACTTGGAAAATAATCACCGTTTTAGAAGAGGAAACTCCATCTTTTCGACATCCAATTTCATCTTTTGTCTGGACTTCCGTTCTGGATGCAGGGAGGCATTCTACGTCCATTTCTGCTGTGTTTTAAAATTATATTTCTCCAGGAGATAATAATTCTCTCATATTTGTGATAGCTCCATGATTAAAAATTAATTCATCATTCTCAAGGTGCAATGTCCAAGTTATTACTCTCACATTTCATGTGAGTTTAATAGAACTTCAGTCTGAATCTATTAAGGATTTAGTTGCTGATAAATGCTAAATCTATATGTCCTTAGCGTGAATATGGCTGTGTGTATTTGTTTTTCATTGTTGACATTATGGGTTTGTAATTCACCTATTTAGGATTAATGGAAAGAAATTTTTATTGCTTTTGAAATTCTAATAACTGTATTAGTGTTCATCACCTAAATGCTTTACTGTTTTGCTGGATTCCAATATATTTCAATGAGCTGGTGTTTGCACTGCCATAGAGAGTGCATGCTGGCAGACTTCTTTTGCAATCACTCCACACTGTGCTTTCAGCTGTAAGACTTTCATCCAATACCCGAGACATTGACAGAAAGCCACACCATTCATCCAGCATACTTCTTCCAGTTACATTGAAAACAGAATGTGAGCTTGGATAGACCTCATAAAGTAAGTATTTTGACATGATTTACTCTTTCTTCTACAGCAATTCCCCAAAGACACGATCAATGAAGAAGTGATAGAATTTTTGAATCCTTACTTTGAAATGGCCGACTACAACATTGAGACAGCCAAACGCGTGTGTGGGAATGTAGCTGGTCTTTGTTCCTGGACCAAGGCCATGGCTTCCTTTTTTTCTATAAACAAGGAGGTGCTGCCTCTGAAGGTAGGACTCCTAGAGGGAGCTATGTGACCCTCAACTGGGAAAGGCCCTGGGATAAATGGCCTCATCCTTGCACAGCAGCTCAGGAGCTATGGTGGTCAGTTTTTTTGTCCTCAGATCCATAGGAAGAGGGAGGTTCTGAAAGCCAGAGACAATGAGGTTTCTTTCTTCTGCAACCTGAATCTGGAGCTGCAGGAGCTTTTAAGCATGAACCACTTCCCTGTGAAGACACTGAGTCTGCTGTGAGTTGCTTAAAAATGAAACAGGAAATTATAGCACAGAATTTTTCAACAATGTTAGAGATCTTAAGCAATGAATCCTATGAATGAGATCGGGTTAAGATACACACACTGGGGCCAGAAAATGCTGATCTTTGATGAATGAAGGTGTAGCCTTCCCCTTTCCCTCCTTTGCAGCTCAGGCAAGAATGTCAGCTATTTGTAACTTAATGTGATCTTGAGACTAAGCCACATTTCCCCAAGTAGCTGAGTTTATGTACGTAATTTCTCTATTCACCACCACGGTTAAAATGACACCCGGTCTTGAGCAAATGGAGAGGTGAGTACATTTTTAAACACACAAACCCTAAAACTCACATCTGAAAGATCATATCATGTGGCTTAATTTTGGTTTTGTAAATTTGATCTTTTCCAACCATAAGCCTAAACTTACTTATATTTGTCAGTTACCTAAGAAATTTAATAACTATGATAAAATAATCAAGAATGTCAAGGGGACAGTGTGGAATATAGAAGGTGAGTCTCAGGGTCCCAGAACCATGTAAGGGTTCAAAGACTGATGCACATCAGAGCAAATAATTGATGTCATGCTTGCTGACATAACAGAGAATGTGATCATTGGAGAGTCCAGCATAGCACAAGACTGGTCATGAGAAGTACATGGTACTCTTTCTACACTTTCCAAGCAAACATAGTAACGTATAATTTTTGTTTTGTTGTAGTTATTTTAAGAACACAGAGCTGAAACCATTAAAAATACCTCCAACAAGACAGAACAAAGAAAATTTTTCTCTGGCATTCTTATTTCAGCTCCTGTGAAGGACAGATCTAGGCTGTCTTCTGTACTGGTGCCTCATGAAATGGTTTTTAAACAAGTTTTTAAAAGCTTTGATTTTTCCATTTTGGCCTCCACAGCTAAAATAATTTTTAGGCTATTTTGCCTATAGAAAATAAATTCGCTGACTGCTACTCCAATGATTTATAATTATTTTTATTATAAACACTGATGACAAATTCACATTAATATTTGTTTCATATTAATGCAAATTGAGGTGATTGGAGAGGTAGAAAGTTCAGGTGAAGCATGTGCCGTTGTTGAACTCCTACCATCTGATCTGTGGGTGTATGGGGACTTCCTGCTTCTTCCTCACCCTGTGTCTCCTGCAGGCCAACTTGGTAGTGCAAGAGAATCGTCACATGCTGGCCATGCAGGACCTGCAGAAAGCCCAGGCTGAGCTGGATGACAAGCAAGCAGAGCTCGATGTTGTGCAGGCAGAGTATGAACAAGCCATGACTGAAAAGCAGGTAGCCAAATCTTGGCGTGGGAGGGATGCTTATACATTCCATTGGCTCTTGGAAGCTCTCATCCCTATGCTATTTTCATCTGCAGAGTTGGTTGTCTACAAGAATTCACTGAGTTCTGTGTACAATGCACAACAATTCTTCATTGAACCCTTGGCTTTGTTGTTTTGTTTTTACTTTCTTTTTATTTATTTTATGTTTTTTTTGCATCATATATATTGATCCCACTCATTTCCCCATTCCATTCTCATCCATCCTCTGTCCCTGCACACTCCCCAAAATAAAACAGAATTTAACAGAAAAATGAAAATAAAAGGGGAAAAATGAAAAATCTCATCATGAAAGCTGCACCGTGGCACAGTGAGTCATGCAGTAAACCCCTTTGTCCTCACATATCGTTTGTTATAAGTGCTCATTGCATTGTCATTGGCCTGGTTAGAGGACTCTGGTTTCTACTACACTCTCTGATCTGTTGGCTTTGTTTCTAACCAACAGTGAAAGCCACTGCTAATCCTCAGGATGGTCCCTCTGACAGAAGATGCTTATAGAAGATAGCTAACTGGTCCATGTCTCCTTATGCATGTGGCTAGTGATGACACCTGTGCCTCCTGAGTCATGCCTCTCCACACTTATTAGTCTTTCAATCAATTTTATAACTAGGTGGGGCAGGTACTTCATACAGCAGCCAAGGCACAGAAGTGCCAAGAGAGAGTTCTAGCTTTAAGCTGGTCAATCGAAACCTCAACTAGACTTTGGTATTTTGATGTCAGCTTAAGTCCTCCCTGCTATATGGGTGTAGCTGACCACAGGAGTATACCCTAATGACAATGATTGTCTGCAAATTTCTCAACACACACACACACACACACACACACACACACACACACACACACACACACACACACACACACACACACACACACACACACACGAGAGAGAGAGAGAGAGAGAGAGAGAGAGAAATAGAGAGAGAGAGGGAGGGTGGGAGACAGAGAAAGAGAGATATCAAGACAGAGAGAGACAGACACACGGAGGGGACGGGAAGAGGGATTTTCGTACTTGGTAGAATCTAGGTTCATATACTTGTCATCTGTATACAAATCCCAGTTCCCCTGAAGACTCATTCCTTCTGAAATCAAAGTGGACTTAATACAGAGCTAAAGTAACTGAAGCTTTAGGGTTCCTTGCTTGTGTAGGTGGCTATGAGAAGCCACCTACAGTCTTTCGGTGACTGGAGACTGAGTTGAGCTCAGCAGACATCTGTGTATTCACAATCAGATAAAATGCCTGATGTGATTCAGAGAGAAGACACTGGAGTTTCTAAGTCACAAAATCATTTTCATGATTTCCTCACTGTTTTAAACACCTGTGTATGTCACATTTGCATGTAGTATATTTTTAAACCATTTCCCATACCGATGACATAAGCTTTTAGCCCTACACAGTCTGTATCTTCGAACACGGTATTGTGTTTGTCAAATGGGAGCTATATTGACTCTTTTTGAATATTTTATGGAAGTGGCCCCTGTCCAGATTAAGACACCTGCTTGTGACTCTGCAGTTTCATTGTGTGCAGAGTACATGCTGCTTCTCTTAAAGATCAAAGTCTCCTGGAAGCTGTGTGAGAGTGTCTCAAAGGGCATTTACAGGCATAAGTCAGTAGCACCTACATGGGTGTGTGTGGATTTATACTCAGGGGGTTTCGCTTGCACAAGGATAAAATTAACATTGTAACTTAGAGTCCACTCTAAAAAGCTGGAGGGAAGAGCATTAATTTCTGTCTTTTAGGATAGTCACTGTATCCAGAAGCACTCATGAATAAAAAAATTCTCTTCTACTGTTGTTGTGCTTAAATTTTAGCAGGTTTGCACTGGCTTATTCCAGTCTTTCTTGTTACTGCTTGCTGTTCTGGAACATTGCCACTTCAGAACCATAATTTTTCTACTGTTACGAATCATAATGTAAACATCTGTGTTTTCCGATGGTCTTAGGTGACCCCTGTGAAAGGGTTATTTGATCCCCAAAGGAGTCATGATCCACAAGTTGTGAACCACTGGTTTACATAAATGAACACATAAGAGCTGCTACTGTAAAAAACAAAATAATCGTTAAAAACTTGAGTTTCAACAAATTTCAAATTTCTTTAGGTTAAAACAAAACAACAAAAAATTAGCCGTGAATTTTTCTGCTACCAGCTTCTGAACAACCTTCACTCATTTTTGTTGCATTTTCCTCATTCCTAGGGCTGGATGAAGCTGACAGGGGCTTGTGGACCTTCCAAAGGGGCTCTAGTCTACAGTTCATTATAACCCAGGCCTGCATGGTTTCTTGAAAGTACCCTGGCTACTGTACTCAAAGGATGTGCCTAGTTGTAGGGTCCAATTTCTCCAGCCTTCTGAAGAATGAGCCAACTTACTGGCCAGTTCGGAGAGACCAGACTTCAGAGCTGTCACAAGGGCATTCTGTACCTGACCTTTAGTTGAGACCACAGTAACAGTCTGCTTCTCTGTAACATAAGCACTAACCATTCTTGGCCTTTGTTGCTCTAATCAGAGGGACCTGGGTACTGAGCGAACAAAGACATGGGGAGAAGGCCTAGCAGTTTTTTTAACTGGCTGCATATAAGATGAGAAATTCAAGGAGAAAATGAAATTAAGGATGTCATTTAATTGAAAACATTGTTTTAAACAAATTATGTGGTGTAAAATATTATATAGCTGGTATCTTTATTCTTGGGTTGAAGCAAGCAGACACATGTGGTGGGGATATGCCACAGAAAGTTGGGTTTTGGTTATTTTTCTTTAACTAAAAGGGAAGACAAAACTACAGAAGGAAGATGAAAACAAATAGGGCTAAGTATCTCCCTTTTTCAAGACACTGTATTGTGTTATTCTTACAAAAGCAGCCTATTCATTACAGAAAGTGTATTTAGGCAATCCTGGAAAGGAATAAAAATAATACTTTGCTCTTGTATCTGAACATATGCTATATATTTTACATATACTTTAAGTCCATTTACAAACGGAACCCTCAGTACGGAGTTTTATTATCTAAGTTATTAACTTCACAAAATATTGTGATCTTTTTGGCTCATAAAAACTTGCAAGATAGCTTTAATCAGTTTAGAGTATTTATGTCAGCACACTGTAATAATTTAAATGGTGGTTTGAGTAATCCCACTAAAGAAAAGTATTGAAACAGTTGAAACTTTTATTTAGATACCATTATAGATGTTTCCATTGAGCTTATCTTGTAAAATGTGCAGTGTAGATTTGTTATAGATGGACAAACATCTCCTGATGTACACCTCTTTGTCCATACTTTATTTCCTATACTTTCACACGTAGAGCTGGAAGTCATCTCGTAAACACAGAGGGCAAGAAGAACTTGGGCTGGGAATGTAGTTCATCAGCACAGTACATATCTAGCATGCCTGAGGCCCTGGGGTCCTTCACCAGAACCAGAAACTGGGGATAGGATTGGCTTCTGATTGGCAGTATTACAAGGAAGTCTGCATTAAAGTCCTTTTTCTGGCTCAAGGAAAAGCTGAAAAATATATACCAGTTAAATGAGGTGAAATTTATGCAGATACCGTGAGGTACAATGAGGTGAAGGTAATCTAAGTTTTTGCTGACAATGCATGAGGTGTGGCTTTAGATAAACCACAGATGACCCCAGGGTTCAGCATGAGATATATTCTTAATTGCATTTTCCTGAGAATTCTCATTTTACCTACTTTATGTTACATGATACTATCATGTGTGGTTTTACTTGTGAGTGATAGGAATGTCCAGCATCTGTCTGTTATTAACCCCTGAAAGGATTTGGCTGCTGGGTTCACAGCACTGGACAGAAAACCAGAGACAGAGCAGGGCCAACACAGACATGTGGAGGTAGAACCTGTGTTTCCTGTGAAAATGAGCCTTCCATGTCTCAAGAAAGGCAGACAATAAGTGTCTTAAAGTCACACATTTGAACTAGAAGCTGTTCTCTGAATAAAGGTTTTCTTCTGGTTTTGACCTTCTTCAGACCTTGCTTGAAGATGCCGAGCGATGCAGGCATAAGATGCAGACAGCGTCAACGCTCATCAGTGGCTTGGCAGGTGAAAAGGAGCGATGGACAGAACAAAGCAAAGAGTTTGCTGCACAAACTAAACGACTCGTAGGTCTGTAAATTTTTTTAATAATGAGACTGTGTGTTGACTGTGATGGAGTCAGAAGCCTTAAGCTTTAATCAAACAACACTTACTTATTTCAAATTCCTATGTGTGTTTGCCTGTCTACTACCATCTCAAGGAGGTGGGTAATTGTCTGGTTCATATGTATCTTGATTTGATGGGTTAACGACCCTAATACCTCTTCTTAGTTCAGTTTCAAATGCTTCTATAAGTATGGGAATATTGATCAAGGGCACTTTGATGAAGGCTCTGTCTTCTCTGGATTTTAAAGTTATATTTTTGAGCTAGAGGTCACTCTGTTCCAGCAAAGTTATGATAAGACAATGACTGACTTCTGACAGTTGTTTCTTGATTGGACATCTAGACTCTGTTCAACAGTCTTTCAAACTCACACTTATTTATTAAGCCATTTGTAGCCCATGCTCACAGGTTGCTTTGTGTAATTTAGTTTGAAAGAAATGGTTGCAGTTTTATACTTCTTTTTCTATTTTAGTGACTTACACAATTGCATGGATGGTCTCTAAATATTTTAGGGGTGCTTGCTTTCCATTTTAGGGGATGTGCTGCTGGCAACAGCTTTTCTATCATATTCTGGTCCATTTAACCAAGAGTTTCGAGATCTGCTGTTAAATGATTGGAAGAAGGAAATGAAAGCCCGTAAAATTCCATTTGGGAATGACCTAAATCTTAACGAGATGTTGATTGATGCCCCTACTATCAGTGAATGGAACCTACAAGGCCTTCCAAATGATGACCTGTCTATTCAGAATGGAATTATCGTCACTAAGGCATCACGCTATCCTTTGCTAATTGATCCACAGACTCAAGGCAAGATCTGGATTAAAAATAAAGAAAGCCAAAATGAACTCCAGGTGACTTCCATTTGAGGACATTTATACACTTCAAGCTGTATTTCTCTATAGAGTTCACCACCCTGCTCCCCCCCCCCAGAAAAGGGGAAGAAATATTTGGATGTCTTACAGATTTTGTTTGAAATCCTAAGCAGAGATATAAACTTATGTCTAATAACAAAGTGTTTTCCATAACTGTGTTGTTTCCATTTTTGGCTGCATTACCTAGCACCATATTTCAGAAAGTAATGGCTCAGATGCTTATCTGCAAATGCTATGGCTTTCTCTGGTCATCAGAAAAAGCAGAGCCATGTCACTCTACATGTACTGTCCGCACAAACAGGTTTCTAGCTGTCTACCTGCAGGGATGGTGGAGGACAGAAAGAGGCAGAGATGTCCCCCAGGACTTTCACATGCTTCATGGCAGGTGATAATATTTGTCTATTAAAGGCACAATGAAAACATTTAAAGCTCTCCACACCATTTTATGTAGCAGGGTTTCAATGTCCAGGCTTCCTAAGTTCTTGTTTGTTTCCCATGGCAGAGTGTTATAGCGCTCACTTGACATTACTGTGTATTGCATCATGAGCCTGTTCCTCCAAGTAACCTTGTGATCCCATCCCATTTGTAGACCACATCTCTAAACCACAAGTACTTTAGAAACCACCTGGAGGACAGCCTTTCCCTTGGACGGCCTTTACTTATAGAAGATGTTGGGGAGGAACTAGATCCTGCTCTGGACAATGTTTTGGAAAAAAACTTCATTAAATCTGGATCTACCTTTAAGGTAAGAGAAACCCATTGACAACAATATGCAGAGCAATTGTTCAACCCGTTGGATGAGACAGAATTTTTTCAAGAGGCAGCAGTTGGAATTGGCTTGGGGGGTGCTATTCGGCTCTTCTTGAGTTGAGACTAAATGAATTGAAGAACAATCATTTCATGTACTTCTGTAATTAAGAAATGGATTCTATTTTCATCTCTGACTGTTGAAAAATTTAAGAACTCCGTGTCCCCCCTTCCTTCTGCACAGATATGAACACACTTATGAAATGCTTATGGGATTCTGTTACATGGCACTGGTTAAAAATTCAAGCAATATAAGTTCATGTGTGTTCGTGAGCCCTCAGTGAGGCCCCATCCCTTGCCTGCCATAAACTCTATACCAATGCTCCCACCCTTCTCTTTCATTAAATTTTGGGGTCTTGCTCACGGGACTTCCAAAACCCCAGCGTGTTGGTAATGAGCCTTTTCATTGTTCTCAACCTCTGAGAAAATTGTGTGTTAGCTTTTTTTTTAGGTCCTTGGCTTAGTCACAACAGGTTTGACAACACATTCTTCCCCCCCCCCCTTTTTTTTTTTTTTGGTTTTTCAAGACAGGGATTCTCTGTATAGCTTTGGAGCCGATCCTGGCACTCGCTCTGTAGACCAGGCTGGCCTCGAACTCACAGAGATCCACCTGATTCTGCCTCCTGAGTGCTGGCATTAAAGGCACGCACCACCAGTGCCCGGCTGACAACAAATTCTTTATCCATTACATTGTATAATTAGAACTCTTATCTACCTCCCCTTCTCTTTCCCCTTGTCCCTTCCACCTTTCCTCCCAGCTTGAAGTGTCTTGAAGCTCTCTGAGTACCCAAAGACAATTTGTTTTTATGTTTTACTATATAAATTATATTCAGTTACAAATTGATCTAATCAATAACTGATTTAATATGAAAAGGACTCAGGTGTATCTCTCCTCTGTTTACCTTTTTTTTTTTTTACGTGAAGGTGAAAGTTGGGGATAAGGAAGTAGATGTTATGGATGGTTTTAAACTATACATTACCACCAAGCTGCCAAATCCAGCCTACACCCCAGAAATAAGTGCTCGGACCTCCATCATTGACTTCACTGTCACTATGAAAGGCTTGGAGGATCAGTTACTCGGGAGAGTCATCCTCATGGAGAAACAGGTGGGGAATCAAGGCTGACTCCGTTTCTGCACTGCACTGTCTGTCATTGATAAAAATAATATGAGAGATGCCATAGAATCGATTTCCCATTTATCTCTGTGTTTTTTCTGTGTCCTGAATCTTGTTTATTACATTGCAATTGCTTTAGGAGCCATTAATCTAGAATCCTAAATTCACATTAATTCTTCTGTATTAGGCAATTATCTACATATATTTCTTGGTGTGTATGTGCTGGACTGTCATGCGTACATGTACATATGTGTACAAATGTGTGTAGAGGCCAGACATTGGGTATTTTCTTCCACCTTTTGAATTTAAAAATTTTATCATCATTACCATATAATAATAATGATAATGATTGTAATAATAATTATTATTTTTATATGTGCTTTACCCGCATGTATATCTGTGAATTACATACATGCTTGGTACCTGTGGGGGCCTGAAGAGGCTATTGGATCTTTTGGAACTGGTGTGACAGGGGGTTGTGAGATGCCATATGGGTGCTAATAATCGAACCTGGGTCCTCTGTAAGAGCAGCAGTTTCTTAGCAGCAATGCCATTCTTCCTGCTGCAGAACCTTTACTTTTTAAGATGTGGCCTTTCACTAAAGTGGGAGCTGGTTACTTCAACTCTGCTGGCCAGTCAGTCAGCTTCAGTGACTCATCTGTTTCTCAGCCACATCTCTTAGGGCTGGGAATGAAGAAGACACACAGCATAATGCCTGGATTTTTTATGAATCCTTGGGTTCCAAGCTTAGGTCTTCATGCTTTTGTGGCAGGCATTTTCCTAAGTCATCTACACAGCCACACGTTTAATGTATTTTCATGAATTACACAGGTCACTGGTAACTTTTCTAAGACACCAACAATGTAACTCTGAGGATATAGTTTCATTTTGTTTTGTTATTCTGTTCTTCAACTGTTTTATTTTTATGAAAAGCTTATTGTTTTATGAATTCTATTTTCCTGTTTATGTTCAGTTTTCTCATCTGCTTTCATTTGGTTATGATTCTTCTTAGAATATAAGATGTAAACTTTGTGCTTAGACCATAAGCAATCTCAGCTGTTTTACTTATTTGAATTTTATTTATGTGGTTATGTAAACACATACCTGTGCCTCTGTGGATATGTATATATCCCATCATGTAGATGCCTGCAGAACCATAAGAGCATGTCAGATCTCCTAGAACTGGAGTTGCAAGCAGTTGTTACTCCCTGGCACAGGAGTAACCCTGAGTGCTGGGACCTGAACCTGGGTCTTCTGCAAGAGCAGCATGCTTTCTTAGACATTGAGCCATCTCTCTAGTCCCTCAGTCTAGTCCCATTATCTAAAAGAGCTCCATGTATGTCTGATGGGTCTGGAATAAACCTTTCAGGGCTGTTTGGTGGATGAGTTGGTTTAGTGTGTCAAGGCTCCTGGTGTCAGGCATGTTGACCTGAGTTTGTTGCCAGCACACACGTCAGAAATTAAGAACCAACTCCTGCAAGTTGACCTCCACATGTGTGAGTGACACATGCTCCCTCCCACAAATAAACAGACGACATACAAAATGAAGAATTCTTATAGCCTCTGAAGTCTGCTGTTCTGGGTTGATCTCTGCCGCTGTGACAAATACTCTGACCGAAAGCAGTGAGGGGAAGAAAGGTTTCCTTCCTAGGGGAATTATAATTCTACAGCACTGTCCATTGATTAGAGATGGCAAAGCAAGAACTCAATATATGAACTTGAAAAGCCTGCCTGCTATTTCACACATTACTATCTCTAACAAAAGATCTCATTTCACAGCCAAAGAAGGACAGAAGGAGCAGGGTGGTGGGAAGGGGGAGGGATGGGGTAGATGATGGGTAGAATGGGGTCTTCTGGCTCATAGGCAAGCTTATAGTCAACTAGATTTCAAGACCACCTGCCTAGAGATAGTACTACCCACAGTGGGCTGTGCCTTCCCATATCAATTAACAATCAAGACAATCCCTCATTGATCTGCCCATGGGCCAGTCTGATCTAGGCAAGTTTTAAACTCAGGCTCTCCAGGACAGCCACTGACTTACTGAAGCCCTGGAAACATAACTCACTGTAGGCTTCCTTTGCTATTATTTTTTTGGAGATAGGTAGCTTAGTGCTCAGTGAAAAAATGACCAATAATTTATAAACTTCTCCTTTCCGAGTAAGCATTTCCCCTGGGAAGCATGTGAAGTTTAAGCAAAGAGATCTAGAAGGTTTTTAATGAGACTACTATGGTAAGGCTGAAGTTGCTATTGACTTTCTCATGGGTTCGATAGCAGGGAGGTTCTTTTACTTTTTGGCCCACGCTATGCTGACCTGAAGATTTATTAGGTTAAGATCATTGACAAATTCCTTGGATCTGCACCTCCTCCTGTCTTTATGCTTTCTGCATGCTATATCGGACTTGCTCTTCTGATCACTACCTCTGGAAGGGAGAGGGACAATATCTCTTTCTTCCTCCTCTCCCTCCCCATCTCTTTCTGTGTTTTTTAAAAAAGTCTTTTATTTTCTTCTTTCTTTAAATTTAGAAACAATCATTTTACATATCAATCCCCTGATTCCCTCTCCCTCTGATTCTCCCATGCCCCTACCAACCCTCCTCAACCCACCCCCACCCAGTCCCCAAGGATGGCGAGGCATTCCATGGGGGATCATCAAAGTCTGTCACATCATTTGGGGGATGTGGCCCTCCTCCGTGTATCTGGGCTGCAATAGTATCCCTCCATAGGGAATGGGCTCCTGAAGTCCATTTGTGCACTATGGATAAAACACTGGTTCCACTGTTAGAGGTCCCATAGACTGCCCAGGCTTCCTAATTGGTACCTACATTCAGAGGGTTTGGTTTGGTCCAATGCTGGTTCCCCAGCTTTACGACTAGGGTCTCTGTGCTGTCACTAGGTCAGGTCAGCTGGTTCTGTAGGTTTCTCAGTCATGGTCTTGACTGTTTCTGTTCTTTTAATTACAATACATGACTGGTACTCATGAATTCAGAACTTAATTTGAGGAGCCTTTAACCCAGCTTCATAAGTTCATATGGGCAGTTGACTTCACTGTAGCAGGAACCAGTGCACATTCTGGCAGAGTAGCTGTTCAGGAAACAATAACCTTCACCATGGACCTGTCACCTTTCAGGCCTGACTTAAAGCAGGAGATTGGAGAGGTGCAGCAATGCCACACTGCTACTTCAGTAAGGATTTGGGTTTTGATTACCAGAATGTACTGTTAATCATACCAAATCCTGAGAGTCTTTTGGGCCAGCATCCATCACAACAACTCTAGGCTCTGATGTTACCTGTAGCCTTGGCTTCAGCGAGATGAGTAGGCATGGTGGCAGGTTACATAATGTAATTGTCTTGGGTTTTCTTATATTGTGTTGAGATGAATACAATTTCTCTGGAAGAAACAATTTGGTCTGACGGATGCTGGTCACTATAAAACAGCAAAACCAACATCAAACTACCAGCCCATGGCTTCAGTGGCCGGAAAGGCTTATAGTATCAAGGAGTGATTTCAGATTCTTTTGTTTTCTTTTCTTTTTTGGGGGGGTGGGAGTCTAGACAGGATTTCTCTGGGGCTTTGGAGTCTGTCCTGGAACTAGGTCTTGTAGATTAGGCTGGTCTCGAACTCACATTGATCTGTCTGCCTCTGCCTCCTGAGTGCTGGGTTCAAAGGCATGTACTACCACCACCTGGCTTTGATTTCAGATTCTTAAAGACTTTCATCAGACTTACAAAGTCAGTACACGTCCAGGCCTGGTGTTTCCCTCTTCTTGGGAAAACTGAATGTGTTGAGAAAACCATTCCCTTATCAACATATCATTGGCAGGACACACACTCACAATAAGCAACTCTTTCAAACATCATGGACAGGGTAACATGGCAGTCTATTTACCTGTATTTATTTATTTAGTACCAGAGGATTATTTTACTATGTACACCAATATAATAATTACAGTTATCTTTTCCTTAATTTCCCCAAACAAAGCATTATGGTAAAAGAAGTGACTTGTTGGGCTTAGGTGTGTGTGTGTGTGTGTGTGTGTGTGTGTGTTGTGTGTTGTGTGGTCAAACTCCATTGTTGCTCCTATCCAGTATTTACTATGTTTTTCAAGACTTATGTCTCCTATTGGCCCGATACTTAACCAACTAGGTGAGGCTGACAGGCCCATGGGCCCTAGAATCCTCTCATCTCCAACTTGAGTTAGCATTAGAATTACAGGCACATGACATACTGCCTTTTTTTTTTTGTGGGGTTGCTGGAGATTGAACTCAAGCAAGCACTTTTGTGACTAAATTGTCTCCAGACCTACAACTTACTTTGCATGGGTTAACATTGTCTGTTTTTTCCTAGGAGGTTCCCCTACCCAGCCCCAATATCTATTCTTCCCACTGCATCTGTGAATCTTTTCATGTGGCTGAGTTTTCTCAGTCTAGGTGGTGAATTGAGGTCTGACCTGATCTGTTTGTTTTGTTCCCCTCAGTCATTTGCCATAATCTAGTAAGTGCATTTGAATGAGCCACCTCTATGTGCTTTATGAACACAGGATCATAAATTGAGTTCCAACATTCAAGAAGATAGTATTTTTCAACTAAAATCCTCCAAAGTGAGTCAAAATAATACTGTCTGTATACCCTTCTCTCATCAAAGAGAATATTTTTTTTTGGCAAACCAAGGTATTTAGGTAGATATATAGACAGAAAAGCACATATCTAGAATGACAAACATTTATTCTACTTATTAAGAAAGCACTGTCATGGTAGCACTGAAATGTCACTTGTTTATACTAATTTCTACATTTACTAAAATTTCAAATTCTCATTTAGTGAATGAATGAATCTGAGCAACGACTAAGGAGGTTTTAAGTGCAACATAACAGATGGCATCAGCGATAGGAGAGCATGTTTTCACTGAGTGGCTACAGCTCTGCAAATTAAAAACTGTATCCCTATAGACTTTCCAGACCTCTGCCTTGCTCAAAGATGAGTTTCCTTTCT